CCGAGTGAGAAAGAAAAAGAGACAGATGTGCAGGCCAGAGGTCGCAAGAGGAACTCCAGCTCTCCTCAGTGTTATTCAGCGTTATTAAAGTAGTCCATCAGATTCAAGTTGTTAGTCTAGATGTTACGGCACGAGCCAGGCGAGACGTTTGACTCCACACATTTCTTCTCATCAACCTGCCACTCTACTCCATGTTTCCACTGCCATCACAAGTCCTGTCTCGTATCCTTTTCTGTTGTTCTGACAGTTGCTGCTTCCCCCTTGGATAAAGATAAACGTCAAAATCTTATCCTGCGGATTTTGAAACTAATCCGTCTCACTCTCAGTGCACATTGTGTTCCTCAACCTGTTCCTCCACCTCTGTGGGAGGGATTGAGCTCGCAAAGGAGTGATTAGTCCAGTATGTCAGGCCTACCTCTGGGCCTGGTAATCTGTCTTAATCGCAGGGTTAGGTGGATGAGATTACTGCCCACTCTCTTTGACGACCACCTAAATGTAAAGAAAGGAGACAGAGGCAAGCATCTGGTTAGGAAACAACTGAATCATGTCTATGATGGAAGTCAAGTAATTTATGTTGCCACTTAATGGTATGTCTTCACAGAAGGGGTTTAAGCCTGGCTCATAGTGCAGACACATTGGATGCGTTGACGGATGTGAAGTCGACAGATCCTGTTCATTTTCTGTGTGGAGCGGGAGATATGACAGTCATTTTATCTCATTCTGATGGAACAGATGAACTCCTATTTTTTAAAAATCAGGCTGTCTTCACAGACTAGGTAATTGTTTGCGTTTTACTTGCACATGCTTGAAAGCCACCCAAAGCGTATTCTTACACTTACAGATTATTTTCTTCTGTTTCACATGCGTAATTGCAGGTGATCTACAATCAGTACTAGTGCCTAAACCCAGCTGTGTAGACAGAGCACTGAGCTGCTCTGCTAACATGCTGCTGACTCTACGCCTCCTGTGTTGAAATGAATGGAGGATTGTTTTTGGATTTAGGAAACAGCTGAGGCTATGTGTGAATAGGTCAATGCATAGGAAGTACTTCGGTAAAAACAGTAATAACAAGCGAACATATGGCCTTCAGACTCAGTGTCTCATCTTGGTTTCCACCCATATTTTCCTTGGTTGTACCAGCAGAACCAAACAAATAACAGTGAAGAAGGGATTGCAAACTAAGTCCTGCAAGTTTCAGGCCTGTTTCACACCTGTGTAAGTCTGGGTAACTCTGCAATAAATCTGCAAGCTGGATCTGGCTGTGCCAATAATAACTGTTTATCTAATATGGGCCCCGTTTGATACTTTGACTGTAGAGGAGTATGACCTTATTGGCCCTTGTGACATATTTTGTAAACAACCAAAATGGCTGCCACTGATGTGGAGCCAAGCAGCAACCTCTAGGGCTGAAAAATGGAGCCAATGCTGAGGTGCCAAAAAACAACAACAACAGATGTTAAATTAGCCATTAAAACCACAGCAAAAAACACAACATGTAAACCTTGAAGAAGTGAAAGAGCAAAAAACACAACATGTAAACCTTGAAGAAGTGAAAGAGCAAAAAACACAACATGTAAACCTTGAACAGGTGAAAGAGGAACAGGATAAAAAACCTTAGAAGTGCAAGGCAAGCATCATGCAAGTGGGATATGAAATGCAGACAATTAGAACAAAATGCAATGCAGACAGTGAAAAACATGGCAGGTGTGGTTGCTTTTTAACCAAGTTTTAAAAAGAAATTGTGAGATTCGCCATATCATTGTAAAAGGACCTTTATGGCTTTTGTATATGGATCAAAATAAATATTGTGATGCACATTTCACTGACATTGTACGACCAGCAATTGCCAAGCTGTTCAAGTTTGGCTTCCTGTTATCATGATTGCAATATGACTTCCATGAGCAGCATTATTCAAACACCTAAACATAAATTCCTCACTGTCTGACTTTATCTCATAAATTATATTCTGTATCAACTGGTTCCAGCCAAGCTGAAATACTCCATAAAATAAAAATATTCTACATTGTATGTCATGTTATATGTGAGTATATGAGTGACCTTCCGAAAGGAAAAAGAGATTTAAGCAGTGTTAACAGGTCTCATGTACCGTCATATTAATCAAATCATAAATTATTATCTCTGCTCTACTAGGCAGTGGGGTTTAATCAGTCCATCAAATCATCCCATGTTGTGAAACTATAATCCATACAGTACACTGAGGCAGTTGTTGTGCTGCTTGACTTTTAACTTACTGTACATGTGTGGACTTGAAGTCTTTACACACCTGTCCAGCTTACAGATTATTCGATACAGGCAAAGCTTTGAGACATGAACTGAGTGTACTATCCGAGCATACAGACAGCCTCCAGAGCATTCTTTTGTAGAGATTTTAGTAGGAGATTTGGTGAATAAAGACTGTTTTTACTGGTTGTTCACTACAGAGACAGGAAAACCATGAATATATTATCCACATCAGCAGGAGATTCAAAGTTCATGAAAGTAGAACACGCAGTTTATTGCTTTTTTCTGTATCCCCTCATCATGAAAAGCTAAAAGGTTTCCCCTCGTGTAGCCTATGCGATCGGAAAATCCAGCTGTTGTTCACGCTCAACTTTTGATCAGCTTACAAGATAAAAATTAAAAAATAGCTTAACTCACCGTGTTTGGGACCCCGGCAGAGAGACTCTTTGTGGTTCCTTCACCACTCCTTGAGCTGGGATTCCTTTACCTTTCGTTCTGCGTTCCTCAACACTCCGTCCTCTATCTTGGGTGAGTTCCCATCAGAAACCCACCCAGATTTCCCTTTAATCCTCACAAGTCCATCTGTTACTTTCCCTACCCTTTGCTCATCATACTGATCTATTCATTCATCCACACAGCTCTCTGTCTCTATCTCTTGCTTTCTTCATCTCTCCTTCTCTCTCACTCATAACCTTCCTGACCTCTGGTCCTACAGTGATTAATTTGACAGTATGGTATGTAACAGCTTGGACTGAGATGACACAGCGTTCTCATGGTTCGTGCTTCTCTCTAAACTTCGAGCCTTCTTAACACAAACCGGTACAGCTGTACAGTATATACAGCTGCTGGCTTTAGGCAATCCCATCACTTGAAAGTCACTGGTTTAAATTTCTGATTGGAAACCAAGTGAGTCAGGAACAGCATGTTTGTAGTTTCACTTAAGTTTCTGATGATTGACTGATGATAGAAGCCTGAAACAACAGCATCAGAAACATAAGGAGAATATAATTCAAGCAATTTAACAGGCTGTAATTTGTTGTGCTCTGCCAAGGAGAACAAAACATTCTTGCTCATATTTAGCCAAACTGATACAAGTGACCTACTGGGTTTCTTCAAGAAGACAAGTCCATTATCCTCAGTTAGTGTGCATCAGCCAATAAGTCATACTGGGAATGGGGATGACATGTAAGGTCCAAGTTGGAGGATATGTATCAACAAAACTAAGAGTCTACGGCCATGCTAGCAGCTCTGTGTGGCTGTATGTAGGCACAGCAGTGCTTTGAGCTAATTGCTAAAGTCAGCATGAAACAACATGCTTACAGTGACAACATGCTTATATTTAGCATAAATGTTTGCCAGGTTCACCATCTTAGTTTAGCGTGTTAGCATGCTGACACTTGCTATTGAGTAAAACAAAAGTATGGCTGAGACAAACCAAACAAACCAAAGATTTTGTCCTAATCAGAATCAGTGTTTTACACATACGAGGAATTTGCTTTGGTGATGACACACCACAAACATACAGTTGACATAAATAAATGTAGAAATATATAAATATGGAATAAACAAATGCAAGTTATATAAGAATAATGAAAGAATAGAGTAAAATAAAACAACAGAGAAAGAACAATGTGGCAGATATTTACATGTGCATTACTCCGGTTTGTGTGTGCAGACATATTTTAATGGAAGAGAATATTGTGAACATAAATATATAAATTGACAAAATGTAAAAATATAGAACAAGAACGATTAACAATTAACAACAAATATGTGCAAAGTTCCAGGTTTGTGCATGATATGAAATTAAGTAAAATTTAGATGTGCAGAGACATTTGCGTTATTTGAAAGGGGGGGTTCCCCACTGACACCTAACACCGAGGCAGCTATGCGCAGCACTATCTTGGATAATATATAATAATAATTCACTTTATCTGTAACGCACTTTTCTTAACAATTATATTTACCCTCAGTAGAATATTCTTTATGGTTGTGCACTTATTCTTTTAAATGGTTCATAATGTAATGATTATGTGTCCTAATTTATTTTGCTTTCAATATGCCAAGTACAGTGGCAACAACTGGTAGTACATGAGGTGTTTCATGTGAGTGACAAATATCTGTTAATATTTGTTGCCCTCTTGTGGTGACAGTAGGAAAGTTCTTTATTGGTTTGAATGGAAGGCAAGGTTTAGCCAAAACAAATCCCCAATAAATGAGTGATTCAGTTTAAAAATTGAGATTTGAGAAAATCTTCAGAGAAAATTAGTGAAATCCGATATAGAGAACCAACAAAAAGGCTACAATGCTGAGTAGACACAGTGAGAAATGAGCATTTTATTTCTCAAATGTACTGTATACCATCAGTTTACAACACAGCTTTAAATTCAAATACACAGATAAATCCATTAAAAAACTATTTTTTCATTCTCATCTTTCTCTACTATAACTTCTTAATGCTAAACTTCTTACAGTGAAGTTTTCCAACAAATTTAAATTTCAAGGAGTCAAAAATACATGAAAGATGTTTACAGGCCCATAAAACACAAACTATGTGACCTGTTAGAAGTCACTGGTCCTGTAGATTTACTGTTTTCACATTACCTAAACTGTGGCTAACCCTGCTACTGTTTATGTTTTCTTAAAGTCAAAATGTATCTTCAGCCCCAAGGAAGCAAGAACAGGTGTGTGTTGAAATATTTCAGTTATCACTCACAGGGGAGGATCCGCTCAGACAGCATGCACATTAAAGACGTTGATATGTTCAAATTCGGTTTTTATTTAGCCAACACCGTAGCTAAACATCATACAATAATACATTTCTGTTTCTTGTCTAATGCCAGGAGATACAGCGAAGACATGTTCAGTTACACAATGAATCCAGAATGACAACGACAACTCAAAACAGGGAAGAGAAAGCCACCATTGGTTACTGAGTTGATTGATAATGCATTGTTTGAGCAGCCAAGTCAGGTTTGAGCCAATCATGCTTGACATCACATGTGATCAATACCATCAGGGGAACCGTTCTGATTATGACACTGTAACGAAAGTTAACCTGAACTTCTCTTTATTGGAGGCCACTGCTGCATTGTTGCATCAATAAATAATCAAGCAATAAATCAATCAATCAATAAATTGATAAATAGTTACTCATGATTGTAACACTCTTAATATACAGAATAATTCAAGGTTTATCTGTGATTACTTCCACTATTTACATCAGCACAATAAATACTGCACACACACTGCGTGCATACAGGTCAAACACACACACACACACACACACACACACACACTCCGCCTTGTACAAACACATGCACACTTAATGAGAACCTACAGCGACGTCTTTCCCAGATCAGTCCTGTCAGTGTTTTAAAGGACCAGTCACAGAATGAAACAACACTCACATAAACAGTAATTCTTCAGGATTTCCACATGACACTCTCACAAAGGTGCTCTCTGTTTCTTAGACCTGTGCATGAAAATGACTTTGTTTCAAATAAGTACACAGTTTCATACATATTTTGTGTGTATTTCAGTTAATATATTATGCTGCATACATTTAAACCATGGCTTTTATATTAATTGGACATGAGTAGATCTCAGGGGGAGGAAAGGGTAAGCTGGGGAGGTGATGGATTTAATTAAAAAGGATCACACTAGAGACTTTGCATGTTTTAGCCTGACAAGTCACTACTGCCCATTTTCCAACAGTATACCATAATTGTTTATACTGTTTCTTACCTTCCATGCTGCCATTGGTTCAGTCAACCAATGAAACATTTATTCTTTTGTCAAAGTAATGCTATTAATACATGCTAGTCCAGTTACAAGCAGGAACTTTCACGACTGAACTCGTCACGTAAATAGTTTTGGAAACTCTTTGTTCTTGGTGCATTCAGGTTGCTGAAAATCAACCTTTTAATACAAGAAATGGTCAAATTCACGTAATCCTTTTCAGAATATCACTGTTTGCTTATTGTTTGTACACTTAGAGAGGCACTTTGAATTTTATTGTTATTTGGAAGGTGCTATACAAATAAATGTGCCTAGTCTTCCAATGAGTTACCTTAATAGTCCCTCTCTACAAAACTGAAATAACATTTGATGATACTATAAGGTTGACAAAAAGTATGATGGAAAATTCACAACATAACCAGTGGCTGCCTGGAACGTACATAGGAAAGCAATCTACTCCTATGGCTATGTTTTAAAAGCTTAAACAGTAGATATTCTGGAGGCTAAAACATGTAAACCTACCCAGTGTGGCCATTTAATATAATCCCGGCATCTCATAGGAAAGAATAACCTGTCAAGTTGTCAGAACATGAATGGATTGTTGTTTTTCACAGTCTCACCCAACCCACTGCTCGAGAGCCACTCCGGCTGGAAAGGGACTCCACCTCCAGCTTGTGGAGTGGACCCTCGCAAGTGAGCCACTCCTGCTTGACAGTTCCCTCCAGAGAAACTGGACTGACCCATTCTTTGTTCAAACAAGAGGGGGTCTACGAAAGGATTCCCCACCAGCGATCCAGACTGCACCATTCCCACTCCTCCCACAGAAACAGATTGTACGATTCCAGTTCCTGAATACAGAGGAGCCACCTGAGATGCCTGAAGCATATTTAAGCCGGAGTGAGATACCCCCAGGGTATGGGATGGTAGCTGAAATAGGGGAGTTTCAGCAGCTCCAAAAGTGGGAGAAGGTGCACCAAAGGAGGGAGTAAGGGTGGAACCAAAAGGTCTGCAGTATGGGGCTGATGTTTCAGGAGGGGACATCCCTGCAACAGCCCCTGGTCTGACCACAGGGCCAGGTGTCATGCCCCTGGCTTTGAAATTGCCTGGGAAATAGGAGGTGTAACAGGAGGATGGAGGGATAAGGGGAAGGAGGGGGGGTGGATATACAGTTTGAAGTATTTCAGCAAAGAGAAAATGCACCAAAGCAGAGAGAGGAGTGAGAAAAGTTAAATATCTGCACTGGATAATATACATTAGTTTCTATACTAAACTTCAATAGGTCACTATTTCTCCCACACACACACACACACACACACACACACACACCACAACATCTATACACTACAGTGAGACCACAGGGTAGGGGTGGTTAGGTAAAACACATAAACACAATAAGCTTTCCCATACAAACCTATTAATAAATATTTATTTGTCTGTCATAATATCTCCACCCATCTCTGTCTCTCTCTGGACTGAAGACTTCAGCTGAACAGTAGTGGAATGCATTTTGCAACATCACCAGGAGATGCTTTTTAGTATCCAGTCTTTGAGGTTGATCATGCATCCATCTGACTCAAGTGCACCACAAATAATTCCACATGAAGCCTTTGTCAGAAATTATATTATTCACCCAAAGTGAAGCATTTTTTCTGTTCTTACCAATGACTTCTGTCTGGGCGTTAAGTGTGCTGACATGGGGGCGCTGTTTTGGTTTGGGGTTAGAAGAAAATAGATCATCCAAGTCAACAAGTGACGCCCCCGCAGAACCCAGAAACGAAGCAGTCTTTCTATTTGTCTCCTTTCCCTGCGATGTTCGCTTTCCTGCAATAAAATAAAGGTCCAGTTCTACTCTAAAAGGTGTTTTCTTTCAGGGACAGGTCAGGGAAGAAGAGAGAGCAAAGCGGAAGAGAAGATTAATTGATTATGATAGCTAGCCAACTGCTGACCGATGGGAAGATGGAGATGAAATGGAGAAAATGGAAGACAAAGGTCACACATGCAAATGACCATTACAAGTACACATGAAGTGTCTTTTCATACATAAATGCAAATAAACAATGCAGAGATGCAGGCACAAACAGACAAGTTACGTTTTTAGTCACCACTCTCAGCTGAGCACTAAGCCAGCTCGCAAAAGCTTTCGATTAAAAATAAGCATACATTAACAGACTGCTGCTGAAGACAGAACAAAGATTTAGCTGATCGTTTTATTGCTGAGTACAAAGTAGACAATGAGGTTTTATTCTTATGAATAATGGATGGATCAAAGAAATATGCATTCAGACAGAGAGTATAGTGCAATTTACCTGTCCCATTGCTAGGTGCACTGCTCGATGCACCCCAAGGGTCATCTTTTTTAGATGCTCCGTCTCCAAAGGGGTCACTAGATGGGCAGGAGTCTGATGGCGGAGCAGGTGAACCCCAAGCATCATCTGTGCTAACTGGAGCTGCAGCTAAGCAGGGAAATAGAGCATGCAGGATCAATGGGGACAAAATAGTGATATACAGAAGAAACCAACATTTAAATCTAATTGCTTCTATCATTTCTTAGTTAAAAATTGCTAAACACGAGGTTCCATTATTTGCTTTTCTAGAGCTTTCAACCATATCATACAGTGTTCTTCAGCAACTGGAAATGGTCCAGGTGTCATCATGTCAACTAAGGCACATTATAACAAGTTGTTGCATATTGGTGAGATGGCAATTCCTGCCTTTGTTCAAAGATTGTCTTTCACAAACTGTCCACTGATTCCTGGCCCGATGACTTTGGTTTCTTCACAGTCGATGCTTTGACTGGTTTTGATGTTCTAAAGCTGATGATACATAGAGCAACTTTTAGAGCAATTGTGCAGGGCAACGGTGCCATCAGTAGTAATGAGTAAAGATTACTACCGTAATCCCCTTCCCCCACCTGCCCCGCCGCTATCCGTTCAAAACATAGTCGGACTGGCCACTAGCAAGATTGCCCAGCAACATTGCTCAAAAAGTTGCCATGTGTATCATCAGCTTTAGACAGATGATGTCTGATTCTGATGATTCTGGTGGCACAGGGATTACGTCACCACAATATATGACCACTTGTTTTCACATGATCAAAGCTGTGATGACACCTTAGCAAGTTCCATTTGCTAAAGAAAGTCTTGCAATACAGAAGAAAGCTCTGGAAAAAACTACTAAGAAGTGTTCCCATGTTTCAAGAATTAATCTTCATGCTCATGCATTTGTTTCTTACCTGGGACTCCCCATGGGTCATTGTCTGGTTTAGATGCATCCCCAAATGCATTAGAACTATCAATCGGTGAGGAGGCGCTTGTCCCGTCCCCCCAGGGATCTCCGTCTTTTGTTTCCTTTGGAGCAGATGGAGCCCCCCACAGATCTGACCCGGTGGCAGGTGGAGGGCTAGCAGGGGCTCCCCACGCATCTGCACTGCCTTGGGGCGAGCTCACCAAAGGGGCGCTGAAGGGATCAGAGGCATCATCTTTTGGTGGGCTGGATGGCACTGTGAATGGGTCCTCTTTAGGGGGTGTTGTTGGTGCAGAGAAAGGGTCGTCTTTTGTGGGTTTGGGTGGAGCAAAGAACGGATCCTCTTTAGGTGGTGTTGTTGGTGCAGAAAAAGGGTCATCCTGGATAAGTTTAGTTGGAGCAGAGAACGGATCTTCTTTAGGAGGTGTTGTGGGAGCAGCAAAGGAGTCATCTTTTATAGGTTTAGTTGGTGCAGAGAAAGGATCCTCCTTGGGTGGTGTTGTTGGTGAAGCAAAAGGATCGTCTTGGATAAGTTTAGTTGGAGCAGAGAAAGGATCTTCTTTAGGTAGTGTTTTGGTAGCAGTGAAGGGATCGTCTTTTGGGGTACTGAATGGGTCATCCTTTGGAGCAATAAACGGATCATCTTTTGGAGCAGTAAACGGATCATCTTTTGGAGCAGTAAACGGATCATCTTTTGGAGCAGTAAACGGATCATCTTTTGGAGCAGTAAACAGATCATCTTTTGGAGCAGTAAACAGATCATCTTTTGGAGCAGTAAACGGATCATCTATTGGAGCATTAAATGGATCATCTTTGGGGGCATTAAATGGATCATCTTTGGGGGCATTAAATGGATCATCTTTTGGAGCATTAAAAGGATCATCTTTTGGGGCATTAAACGGATCATCTTTTGGGGCATTAAACGGATCATCTTTTGGAGCATTAAAAGGATCATCTTTTGGGGCATTAAACGGATCATCTTTGGGGGCATTAAATGGATCATCTTTGGGTGCACTGAATGGATCATTGTTAGATGAACTGAATGGATCTGGTTTATCTTTTGGAGCAGCAAAGGGATCTTCCTTGTCTTTTGGTGCCTTGAAAGGATCATCTTTTGATGCTGCAAAAGGATCTTCTCCATTCTTTGGGGCAGCAAATGGATCTTTGTCTTCTTTTGGTGAGGAAAATGGATATTCGTCAGCTTTTGGTGCTGCAAATGGATCTTCGTCAACTTTTGGTGCTGCAAATGGATCTTCATCAGTTTTAGTTGGAGCCCCCCAAGGATCACTGCTGGCTGTTGTGTCAGTTGTGTCTGGTCTTGTGGGTGTGCCCCATGGATCTGTGGCCTCCTTGGGTTCTTTGGGGGCTCCCCATGTGTCTGGTTTCACCTCCTCCTCTGCTTTCTCTCCTCCCCAAGCACCTCCTTTAACGTCATTGCCTTTGCCTGCATCCTCCCATTTAAGCTCATCTTCAGTCATCTTGGCCTAGGATATTACCATTGCAAAATGAGAAATGTAAACACAAACCCTTACTAATGGTCTAAACTCCTCCTGCTTACACAAACACTGAACTGATTAGTTGTTGAGTAATCAATTGCAATTGGTATTTGACCTACAGGATTTTGTACTCATAAGTATCCCCACAGCCGCCTGGTGCCTCTCAACCAAGGCAACAATGGAAAAAGGAGTCCAGCCCCTGTCCATGAATTTGGCTCCAGAACCTTTGCAGTGCGTGATGGTGAGCCCCAATACTAAATAATGGGCCCAAATGCCAACTTGAAACCAAAGAATCTGAACAACTCATTGCAATGCCTTATTGTTGATTGACTAAAACTTTGCATTAGTTTTTGGTTGATCGTTTAACAATTTATATATGTATATATATTGGGCAATACATGTATCCTATCTATCGCAGGCAAAGGTTTAGTGTCTCATAGGATATAGTGGATATAATGTATTTGTAAGTATTGCATCCTTTTCCCATCATTCATGTGTCCTAGGCTTTTTTTTATAAATATGATACATAAACATTGGTTTCCCTAACAGAAAATACGACAGAATAAACAAATAAATATACAGGGGGCAAACACCAAATCATGAACACCTGTGTGATATGTAAATTAAAACAGCAGCCATTCAAAAACTGTGTTATGGAATGTACCGTTTTGTTGAAACTAGGATGTTGATGCTGACTTGTGGTTAGCCATAGCGGGACTATGGTATTAAGTGTTGTTGACTGCACTGTATTGTACAGGTACTTGCTATATGCTTACCCTCCTCTCTGCTTCTTTCTTCTCAGCTTCCTGTCTAAGACGCTCCTCTTTGCGGGCAGCAAAGGAAGCAGTCAAATCGGCCACCGAAGGGATATTGTCTAAGGATGGAAGCCCTGAGCCCCCGGCCACGTAGCATGGCTTGTAGTTGGGATCCTTGATGGCATCAGTGGATGAGGCTGGTTAGAAGGGATGAAAAAGAGATTAAATGAGAGTTGTGTGAGAGACGCAGAAAAAATTAGAATTATACTAAAACAGTTGAAACAATGGGTGCTTAGCAGTGATACTAGGACAGAGGGCTCACCAGCAGAACTTTTTGATGTCTTCTCTCTGGTCTTAACAGCAAAGTCTCTCTCCTCCTTTAGTTTATCATCATCCTCCATAAGAACAAGGACAACCTTGGCCTTCTCTCTCACATTTGCACCCTGGGATAGACGTTTACATTAGACTTGGCTGATTTGGCTCTGACAGCAAAATCCTATCTAAGCCTGAAAAACGTATACCAGAAACAAACCACAAATGGTACAGGTCTTATAAATTTAACCAATAAATAAACTGTAAACTCTAAAACTAAACTCTGACATAACTCTTATGGGGCTAAGCAATCATGAAAGTGTCATGAAGTCAGGCTTTGTTTGTTTGACAGACATTTGTTTGAGACAAACCTTTAATTGCAAACCTGGTGGTTAAAAGGACTGTGGTGATGGGATATTATGGTAACAATAATGAATAACCTTAATGTATAGCATGCAGCCTTCTAATGGATACTAAAAGGTCGTATGCTTTAGACATTATCAGGAAGCATGTATCACCTGATCTTTGCCATCCTTTTCTACAAAGCGATACTCTGTGAGGGCTTTGACGATGTAGATGTTGTCTTTCATTTTCAGAAGCACACGATCGTCACCAGTCTTTAACAGGTACTCCAGCAGTGTCAGGGACTGGTATGAAAAAAGCATGACAAATGAACAAATTAATGTGAAACAAATGGATGAAACAAAAATAAACTGACAATCCAAACAGTTTCCAACTGTTTTGTTTTTTATAGAATTGTGGAATTTATAGGACAAAACAATAATGAAAGAAACAAAACATGACCTGTATAAAATCATAGATTTGGTAGGAAAGGATAAGCAAGATGCAAAAACCTTAAAACATCCAATACTTAGATAGTAGTGGACACCAGTGTAACTGATATGCCAATACAAAGTCATATGACTGGCAAGTTACAATGGTGTGTTATGTTACTGAGTTGGTGATACCAGTAACATAATAGCAGATACGTGGTGCAGTTTAGGTCTTTACTAAAGACCAGATAAATAAAGCATCTCGTGTGAAAGAACAGAGAGTGCTTTCACTGAAGATCCTTGAAATGGTAATACATTCCAGTTGAGCTAGAACAGTTAAAAACTGCTGCATTGGTAAATGCAAAGTTCATTTGTAATCTTTTAAACTTTCGATATTACTGTACATGCAAAATATCCTGTTTTTGATCACATATTCTAACATCAAGAAACTTGAATTGGTTTGTTAAACTGTTGTTTTAACAAACCAATTCAGAGAAATTAGACCAGAGAAATGTTGTTGTATTGGCTTCTGGTCACAGCCCTTGTTTCCAAAAGAAAGCTACAGATCTTTGGGTGACCTTTTTTGCCTCAATTAATTATTATCTATGACCCATTCATCATAGACACCACAGAGGGATCTGGTGCTATATGTACCCATCAGCCACCAGTCTCTACAAATAATGGGTGTATTTGAAAATGTCCTGTTTTAATAGATAAACTGAAATTTCAAGGATGACAGAATATCCATAATAATGACAGTGAAATGACTGTTCTGAAGTCTGAACACACCATGTTGGACTTGTTGTGCATTATCATTGTTACCTTGTGGATGTGTCTCCAGTTCTTGTCGTCTTTCAGGCGTTTCCAGAGCATCGTCATGATCTCGTTGCAGGCAACCACATTGTAGGTCAAATCAGAGATGTCAGCCATCTGAGTGCTGGATGGGCCCCATGGGTCATTAGATGTTGCCTCTCTCACCTGCAAAAGAAGCAAAGCAAGAAATGTCAGTGTTTAGGAAATATAAGGTGGTGGCAACTCCTTGCCATCATCTCATTTCGTCATGTTAATAAAAAGTTATCTGCCTTTTTATAAACGTTCATGTTTCATCCGATCATTATTTTAGCAAGAAACATATCCCCGACTGTAAAACCTGAAGGTTTGCATGTAAGAGAATAGCTCACTGTGACTTAAGAAAACGTATGCGTATGAAAATTTAAAAGAATGTCTTGTTCTATTATTCAATGACAACTTAACAATTTGTAGAAAATTAGGCACAATATGAAATATAAAATTTGTCACTTGATTTAAAAAAAATGGGATCCTACAGGCTTAAGATACTGAATATTGTGGTTTACATTGTTTTTAACCCATTGATTTCAGTTTCTCACCTTAACTTCAGCCTCGGAGTAGTTCTGGACCAGGTTCTTCAGCTGTCGGCGGAGCATAGAGGACGTCATGGTGTCTGGCGGGGGAGGTGGGGAATCAAACCACCGTGATCTGATTCAGAGAAAACTCGTGAACAATTGCTGCATGCTTACAGAGTTGGCACAGAGAACTGGAAAAGAAGGATCCAAAAACATGCTTACACATAATCAAATAACACAACACAAACACTCACATATGCCTACCTTTTGTAAAGTCCACCTGCTGTGCTGTCAAAGACTTATTTTTATGTTCCTCGGGTGCAGTTGCTGGCTCAGTGAGTGTACATCCTGCAGGTCTCTCTTCCCCCTGACTGCATTTGCTTGTCTCAGGATGTCAGAAACCAGATCCTACAGCTGCGGGTAGATACCAGTCAATAAGAAAAAAGAGCTGAGGCATGGGTTGGCACTGAGTGACAATGGTAAACAGAAAGGTAAGAATATATGACAGCAAAGCTAGACTAGAGGTGTTCCTACACCTGCTGTATGTGACAGCTCGTATCAGTTTGTCATAATCACTGCGACAAACACACAGATTCTCACCTAGGTTAGCTAACTCGCTAAGCTACAACCTCGTAAGCTTCCAGCATCCTGGTGCTGCTGCTGTGAGAAAATATAAGGCAAAACCTAATTTGTAGTGCACCTGGATAACTGTAAGCCACATCATCTGTAAATTGACGTGTCAGTAGTCACGCAGAGTGTTTTCAGGACCACGGAGAGCGACTGAAGAAGACCAGCAGCCGTCAATATGGCTAACGGTCGAGCGTTGTTGTTAAGCCAGCAACAATCAGCTTAAATATGACACTTTAGCGATCAACGGAAGGGTTTCAAACAGTCGCTGCTTTTAGTTAAAAACAACACCCACTGGTAGCGGCGGCGTTTTGTGTATTCTATATGCGTATTTGCAAAAACAAATAAGCACTAACCTCCAACATATCTTCGGCTATCTTCGAGGAGTCGACACGACGTGACGGTTTCCGCTTCCGCCGTTTTCAGGAGTCCACGCCCCCTTACGATAAATATAAACATTTTATATATATTTTTTTTTTACTTAGTTAGATGCCAATTTAAGTAAACATGTTCTGCGTCTTTTATTCTTAAATCTTTTATTTTTATTTTTATTTTATTTTTTAGAACAAAAAATATGAAGCAGTTTCCAGAGCGTAAAGTAACTGAGATTAACGTTAGTGAGTGAGCTTCAGCCAACGTCGTCTGGCGGTTGATAATAATAATAATAATAATAATAATAATAATAATAATAACAACAATAATAATAATGTTTATTAGTATAGCAACCTTTATACAAGAAATTTAGCTTATTGTGCTTTACATTACAACAAAGAAATTACATGCAACAAGTGCTCCACATAAGAAAATACATACAATGACTATGAAACAAGGATAAAATACCACAATTAATGGAAAAATATAAATAGATAAAGATAGTGAAAACAAGATAAAGATGAGAATATAGTACATAGAATGAATCTTCACAGGAGGTTAGGACCTCGCAAACAACACAAATCCCTCTCAGAAAACAACCGAATAAATAATGAGTCAGGTCACAAACACAACTCCCACATCAAAAACAGTTGATTCAAGATGGCGGCCGAGGGCGAGTACGAGTCGATCTTGTGCGTGAAATCCGATGTCAACGTTTATCGCATCCCGCCGCGAGCTTCAAACCGCTCATACAGGTAGAGAAATAACCTTAGGTTGTTGACGGCACTGTAAAATATGATGTAACGGTGTTTGGTGTCGCTCGGTGTGGGCATTTCACTTTCACTCCTCGCTGCCAGTGCATGCTTTCTGTAACGTTACGACTTCACGTTAATGTTATTTTTTGGGGGAGACCGGGGATGAAAATAACGTTTCTTGTTGACACGGTGTAAACCGTTGGCAGGTGTTTCTGTGCCGCTTTGTTCTTCACGGCGGTTGAGCTGTCTGTTATGAGGCGGAGGTGTTTGTCATCATGCCGGGGTCGATATGGGCGATGTGCCAAGACAGTCCCACTCGCTTGTGTGACAGCTTGGATATTCTCCTCATACAGTAAAACTACTGAATTAAGAAATGCCGTTTGAGGGGTTTTCTGGATAGTTTCTGCTTGAGGTTGTAATTACTGCGGTAGTCTGTTGACGTTGTCTCGATGGCATAGGGAGAGATTACACAAACTAATCAAAATGTTCATTAAGAACATTTGCATAGATCCACGCATAGGCGTCATTTCCACTTACAGACAGGCTGGTATTCAATCAAACTTCAAAGGTGCATATGCCCGATATAAACTATATTTTATTTCTCATAACTGTCAGTTAATTCTAGCATCCTGTCATGCAGAGATAAACATTCAAAAACCAGAGCAGCAGTCTGGACATAGCTGTCATTTATACTAAAATACTTGCACCAAGAAATGTTAAATAGCAAATGAAAATGCTTTGAGAAAGGTTTATTTGCACAATAACAAAACATGCCAATGTAAATATAGAAAAAACAAATGTCCAAAAAAAGTAACTTAAGCTGCAAAAATTTGAATTGCCACCTGATTTTTGTGTTTCTCTTTATATAAATCAATATATTTCCACTATTTCCACATTGGTGCAGAAAATCTCTCCAGACTGCAGGAAATTAAGTGTTTTAATACTCAAATGTTTCTGATGGCGGATTCCCGGACACCCCAACTCAATATTTTGCATCTTCACGTCTCGTGAGCTACATCATCACACCCCTAATCTGAGCCCTTATGTCCCCACCACTTTTCAACAAAAAATAATGCCCTTGGATCCATTTGACCACCTACACCCTCCTATTACAGTATATATATTTGCCCCATTTGAGATACAGTATGACTTTAGAAATTAGAATGAAAGGTGAAGTGCGAAGCCTAAGCTAAGTTAAAAAAATAACTAATAGACCTATGTATTGTAAAATAAGTTTAAGTTAGTGGCTTCCCAAAGGCTTCCAGAGTCAAATCTGAATTGATTCTTGTGATGATTGAAGTGATGCTAAGAACAAACAAACAAAAAATGAAGTTTAATTTAGCAACTTCATTCTTGTGTAATGAAATCCTCCACATTTCATATTTCTAAAAGAAGATTGCCTACTTAATATTAAGGGCTCACTATTTTAGGAAACACTGGTTTAATAAAAAATATCTCTCTATAAACCATAATTCAATACTTTTCTGAAAAAAATAACTATGCTATGTAACATTTTCTTGACTGGTATTGATTTGAATGTTATTTCACTTGACTAATCAATACCATCACACAGTCTCTGTATCTATGGTAGTATTATGCAAAATGCTGTAATGTTCTTTGGATGATCAGATGTTTTAAAACTACTACGTTGATTTATTGAAATCCAGAGTTCTTAGCTCAGGGTTTCCATTTTGACAAAAAGAGACAACATATTAGATAGTTATGTTATTTAATATATCAGTGTTTATATCAATGTCCAGTATCAGTTTTTGTGAGTAAAATGTTAGTCCAACACCCTGTTTGTTTACAGGGCAGCTGACTGGAAGCTGGATTCTCCAGACTGGTCTGGTCGAATGAGAGTCACAGCCAAAGGCCAAGTGGCGTACATCAAACTGGAGGACAAGATCTCAGGTACGTCTATTAAACTCAATAATTACATGAAAGCAGCTCACACAAGCAGACTGTACATTACTGTAGACTGCAATGCAGTGCCTTAAACCTGCATTCTTTCTATATACCAGCAGGGGGTGACTCCACTGGTTGCAGAAACAAGTCAGATCGTATAGATTGTATTGATTTGTTACCTCAGTAAACACTTTCCTAATGAGTTTATTGTGTCAGTCGGTATTTTCATGTCCTTTTCACTACAGCTTGATGTTCATTTTGTAAATGATGGTCCCATTTGGAGTGACATAGACAATAAAGCAGGGTATGCTTTAGGGCGAGGCTTCCTTGTGATTGACAAGTTGCTACCACTGTGTCCTGTCAGTCAGGATAGAGGCGTAGCAATGCATATCCCGCCCCAGCTCCTACCTCTCTAGTCCAGATATGGTCACTTCTGATGGCAAAAAACCATGTGACAGCCAAAATGCCAGATTTGAGGATGGATGATTCCCTGTTTTGACACATGAATCACTCATTTTGATAATCATTGTCCTGCAGGGGAGCTTTTTGCCCAGGCCCCAATTAAGGAGTATCCCGGTGTTGCACTGGAAACGGTCAGCGACTCTAGCCGATACTTTGTTCTGCGGATACAGGATGACAATGGTGAGGATGTAAATGTTATAAAAATCATAACTATTTTTTGGTGCCCACAACTCCCAAACATTTATTAAGCTTGCCCGTTACTATCAGCACATGGATTTGAACAGTGTTATGCCGGCTGTTGTTCATGTCAGTTACTGTAACAGCATTTCTTGTACGCAGGTCGCAGTGCTTTCATAGGAGTTGGCTTCGGGGACCGAGGGGACTCTTTTGATTTCAACGTGGCTTTGCAGGACCATTTCAAGTAAGGAGTGACGGTGTGATTTCAGTGAGATTACTGTCTTTCTCCTTTGAAACAAATTCTGTCTTTGAGATATACAGTACTTGTAGAAAGCTGCATGCTGTAGTTTTTCTGAAAACTGCTGAGATGCGTTGTTTATTTCTGTATCCGTGCTGATGTGATGAGTGTCCCTGCATCCCTGCAGATGGGTGAAACAGGAGAATGAAATCAGTAAAAGTGCCCAGCTCGGGGATTCAGGACCAAAACTGGACTTAGGCTTTAAAGAGGGACAGACCATCACACTCAACATCGGGGTGAGAACCAAAATGTCCAGCTTTCAGTACATTTTCAGAACAATTAAAATAAAATTAGACTGTTGGCAAGTGTAGAAAGTGCGTGGTCTGGGATTGGCTCCAGCCCCCCGCGACCCTGTACGCAGGATAAGCGGTTAACAATGGATGGTAGTCATAAAAAATCCATCAATTCCATGTTCCTATTTCCATTTAGTTTATTCTGTTTTGTACGTCACATGGCTCTCGAAAACCAACTTTCCCCACTCTTCTTTGGTCAAGTAATTTATTTCCCCAAATGTTTTGTTTTTGCAGCTGTGAAACAAAAACACAGATTTAAACACAAGGAAAAAACAAGTGTAAACATAGTTTTTCAAGTACATGTTTAAAGGGATTATGCTAAATGTCATGTAAAGAAACTGGTGGTTAAAACGCAAAGGTAACGTGTAAACATTTTTAAAACCTCCAGGAACGTCTGAGTTGTTTTCTCTTCTCAAAAACATAATTTTTCTTTCTCTGTCTCCAGCAAGGTAGAAAGAGGGATAAACCCCGCCCACACAGCTCAGGTGGGTTTGGACTCCTCCCACCACCACCTGGATGCAAGATAGCCCCTCCTCCCGTATCAGGCTCATCCAATCACAACATAGTTCCTGAGATGGGAGGCACAGCAACAGGTAGATGGATACTTTCTGTGCAATAATATTTTAATATCAGTGAGCATTTTCTTTACAAATGGAGCAATAAACCTCTTTTCAGTTTGTGATTGTGGGATACAACTGTATTTTAGCACACGAGTCTTGTGCAGCTTTAACCTATAAGACTGACCTATTTTCTTAATAACTGCTTTAATTAGTTGCTGTTAAGTGAGTCATACGTTTTAAAGCTTCAGGCTGCAGAAAATGAAGTGTGTCAGTTTGTAAGCTTCTTATAATGAGCTGCGTGTTTCTCTCTGTCTCTCTTGTCAGGCTGCCTGTTGGAGCTGGACAGTAGCAACTCTAACACTGTGGTTCAGTCAAACCCTAGTTCAGATCTTTGGGGAGACTTCTCTGCTCCTGCAAGGTAGACAACTTATTTCTTGTAATTTACACTATGTGGTATGTATTTGGTAACCCATTGCAATTATACCCTTATGTGACTCTGGCAAAACATTGTAGGGATTTGTTTTCATTCAGCAAGAGCGTTAGTGAGGTTCGACAATGATGAAGGGTGATGACATTTGGCTCGCAGTCGGTGTTCTAGTTCGTCCCAAGGGTGTTGGATGGGGTTGAGATCAGGGCGCTGCGCTTCCAGTCAAGTTAATCCTCACCAAACAAAATTCTTTACTGCCAAATTTAAAATACAATTAAATAATTCAATCATATAGTCATTTTAATATTTAAGGGAACTCATTTGTAAAAAGATGGGGAAGATCTGACAGTGAGGGGTAAACTGTCTCTCTGAGTTGCAAAATGTATGATAAAATTACGAAATGAAGATATACTTTTGGCCATGAAATGTAAATTCAATCGCTATTTTATTTGTTTTATGAAACCTTGCATTTTAAATTTTGTGCATATTATACATAGCGTTTTTGTACATCTCAGGATGAGCAGTAGCACCGAGACTCATCTGTTGTTGTTTTTAGTGAATTTATTTTAAATATTTGTATGAGAGAGGTCATAACATGCAAAACACTGGAATTCCCTTTAATAACTGATATGATGTTATTAGAATACATAACAAACTAACATTAGTTTGTGTTTCCAGCTCTGTTCCATCACGACCACAAGACACCGGGAACTGGATCCAGTTTTGAGTTGTTGTGATTTCCATCTCGCCTGCATCTGTCTGTAGCTTCCTGTGCATCACACTGAGATTAACTCCCACACACTGATCCAAAAGCAGAGACCTGAAACACTACAGCTATAGAAACATCCCATGACATTTCAAGAATCATAGTTCTTTCAGATATTCTTGACAGGAAATGAAGCATTAATTTGTTAAAGCCATTACTTATGATATGAGCCATGTCCAATAATATTTAAGGGCTATGTGTGACGTCCCTGAGAGGCAGGTTTTCCTCTTTTATGTATCTGCATCGTCTCCCGCTACAGATGACTCTCTGGACAGAGCTTAACCTTTAGATCTGGCATGTTTATGTCACTGCAACAGCTCCCCCTGCAGGCACTGCAGAGTGCTACATCTTAAGAAAAGGCACCAGTGCTTTGCATATCCTGCTGTAAATAATGTGCAGTGAGCTACAGAGCTTAGCTAAAGTGAAGGCTACATTAACTGTAAGACACAAATCAAAAAGGAAATTCAGACATTTTTTTTTTATTGCTTTACATTTGGCACTTAAATCTTATTTTTGTCAGCCTTATTATTTCTAATTAAATTAGAGATTTCATAATTTCAGTGATCCATGTAACTTGTTGATGATATAAAGTCCTGAAGACAGAACAGTTTGAGATAAAACACTGTTTTACCTCCATTTGCAAGAGTTTTCACTTAGAAACGTTGGGTTTTTAGTCTGAGCAGGGGGTTAAATGACTGACTCGTTCCCACCCTCACACTGTGAATTGTGGAGTAGTACAGCCTTGTCCACACGTCTGAAAAGATCTGTATTTAAAATAACTACTGTAGGTCTAAAGTGGGGTTTGATTTCATAATGCAATGGTGACTTGAAGATGAAACTTCAAAATGTTCAGATTAGCTTTGCTTTGTGGGGTATGAAAACTAAATTGTCAAGATTTCAACTCTTCTCTGAACTCAGATGCAATTCTTTGCTTAAACCACGTTTATCATCTAAACTACTGGTATAGTTATCGCCAATTATCAATTGTACAGTGTTTAGTGTGATTAAAGAAACACTGAGATGATGAAGATAATGTGGGATGAGATACTGTAGGAAGAATGTTTTAAAATATGTTTATAGAAATATATGGAGTACATTAACATTCCTTTCTGCTGTATCATATCTATATATTTATGTTTACAATGTAAAATCATATGTGTTTACTACTGGGGGCTTGTTATCAACAGGCTTATTTAATTATGTAGCTCTGAAATCAGTAGCCAAATCCAGACACACATTCATAACTGTCAATTATATACATTTTATTTTACTTAAATAAACTAAGTATTAATTATTTGGTGATAGGTATTTGTTTGCTGACAGTAAATGAAAACTACTGAAATACTTAATTTAAATTTTTTTTTCTTTTACTCCTGTGAAAACAGCATCTCATCCCAATTAAGGGAATTAAATAAATGAGGTAAACCAGGGCAGGAATGTAGGACTAGATATCAGCAATTTTGCATGAAAAGCAGTTATTTTCCTCAAAGATTATCAGAGGGAAGATCGAATGTGGGGATGGTTGGCAAGTAAATCTTCAGATTCACTTCTTGCCTGTCCACCAGATTTACATTTAGATGTTTAAAGAGCAGTCTTTCTGCATCCCCTGCATCTCCGAAATGGTCTCCTCCTGTGAAAACCAGTGTTATGTTAAAGAGAAAACAGACTGGGAGGTGAGTAAGACGACTTACACGTCAGTCTAATGTGCTGTTCACAGCACAGAAGCAGTTTTACTGGGATGTGATGGCTTGAGAAGTGCACATACAATCAATTTACTTGCTGCAAGTAAGAATAGATCTTGATGAACAAGTAAATACAATTCCAGATGCAGAAGCTGTTCAGCATGACTCAGTGCTAATGTTTCACAGCAGTTTTAGACAGTCTGAGGAAAATATTTGCTTAAAAGAGCAGTTTGGGAAATATGCTTATTCACCTTTTTACGGAGAGTTCGATGCGAATATAGAAACTACTCTCGTTCTGCGCACTTAATATGAAGCTGGAGCCAGCAGCCGGGTATATTAGCTTAGCTTAGCTTAGGATAAAGAATGAAAACTATGGAAACTGCATGGCTCTGTCCAAAGGGAAAATCCACCCAGAAGCACCTCTAAGTCTCACTATTTAACACATTGCATCTCGTTTGTTTATATTTCCTAAAATGTCGACCATAACCTCCCTTATGCTGTTGTCCCTGTGTAGCTTATTCAGACAATAAAATTACATCAGAAAGGCTCTTTTACTGAACCCAGGTGTACTGTTAGAGATTTGAACACACCAGTCTCAGGACTGAAAGCGAGGAAAAACAAAATGATTGTGTTACTTCATCCAAGGAATGTCTTAATGGCAGTAAATGATATGTGAATCTTTGTGCTGAAAAGGCTTTGGCCTGTTGAGAATTTAGACGGTGTTTACATGACTTTGACATATGAATTGTGATAACCATTTCTTGACTGTGAATTAATTTGGGCTGATTGATATAATATGTTGTGTTTACATCGCTTGTATTGCTGACTAAAATAAAAATATGTCTCCCATTCCTCACATATTGTAAAATCACTGGACTAACACTTGATTTGAGGCCAATTTAATGAGAAAGAGGCAATAAATCCTTTCAAAGGATGCTTGATGTCTTGTTCTTATTTTGAGTACTGCAGTATCAAAAAAAGTAATTAGTTTGCATTCAAAGTGCTATGGGAGAAATTATAATCTGAATTATACTTCTACTAGACTTGAATTAGCTTTAGTAACATCCTGAAGGTGGTGCCAAAACACTGGTGTGGCAAACGATTTACATCTCATGACCCCCTGAATCACTGAAATGGCCTGATTAGCACTTATGTGACCCCACGTCTCTTACATCAAGTCTAAAAATCAAAACCATGGAACATCAAGGCTATAAAAAAGACTAGATCTATTTGCGGTGACTTGGTGAGTGTTATTATTACTAGGTATTATTAGGTACCCTGATTTCACCTGAATTCCTATGGTCACTGGTTTAAAATAACTACATTTAGTTAAGTATTGTAACTTTGCGGTAAATGCACTTTACTTTTGTTCCGCATACACCCATCAGCCATAACATTATGACCATTTAACCGCCAAAATAGCCCTGACCCTTTGAGACATGTACTCCACTGTGTATGCTCTGTGTGTTGTAACACACAGATCGGACCACACTCCGCACATGCATCAGTGAGTTTTGGCTGCCCGTGACCCTGTTGCTGGTTCACCTCTTTTCATTCCTTGCACTACTTTTGATATCTAGTGCAGACTGCACTGCAGACTGTTTTGGAGATGCTCCTACCCAGTCGCCTAATACTGTATATCCCACCCACTGACAGATGCCATAACAAGATAATCAGTGTTATTCACTTCCCCTGTCAATGTTGTGGCTGATTGGCGTATATTAGGCACCTATTAAGCCAAAGTGTGTTATATGTTTGAATACAACACGTCTGTGTAGTAGCTAAAATAGCTCCATATTGATTGTATGTATTTTGATTGTAGGGTTGTAGGGTTTTTACAACATTTAAATGTATTTCTTTACACTGTGTTATTCCAACTTTTACATAAATACAGGTTTTAAATACTGCCTCCACCACTGCCCCTTGCTATTGCACGGCAGAGAGATCCCACCATTAGACACTCTGTAAGAAGTTAGTTAGGGAAGAAAGGGAGACAGTCTCAGTAGAAGTGAGAAATATTGTGAAAGGTTAGGACATGACCTCACTGAGCAGTAGCTTTTAGCTCTGCTGACAGACAGAAAAAGAGAACGAGACAGCTGGATGGACGCATTGAGGGAGAGAAGAGGAAACTGGTGACAGTGTCAGATCTCGCTGACCTCTCCAGAGCTTCATCAGGAACACGATTCATCTTCCTCTGATTTTCTTGTCACCGCTCTTCAACTCTGAGGCGCACTGTAGCCTTTTGGTGTTTATCAAGTGTGAGAGCGCTGAACATGTAAGATCTGTGTGCAAACTTGTTCTGAGTGTGCTGTGTGAGAACTTTAGATCAAGTGTTGATGTGTGTGAGAGTGTGTATAACTCCTCTTGTAATCTGGATCACCCCCTGCTCTGTAACCCACACCGAGCAGCAGCACATCTCTCCAAAACACCATCAGATGTGTCTTATTGATGGATTAATTTGGATCTGTGTTACAGCCAAACTTAAATTACAGAGAAATTCAGGAAATTCATTCAGTTTTAATACACTTGATATCCCTGCATGCTTGCTGAAGATAACGTTCCCCTTTCTAGAGAACTTTCCCATCTATCATTATCAGATGTAAAGGTTCAGCATGTAACTCAAATACAAACTCTACAATAACCCCATCACAAAAAGTTCAAGTATAACATGGGATTGTTTATTTAATGGGTTTCATATCTCTTAAGGTGTTTTCAGAAGAGTGCTTGTCGTGTCCCCCAGTTTATTTACTGCTGCATTCAGAGTTTATGATGGTTCATCTTTTTTAACATGCCACACTGCAGCTAGTTGTGTGACCATGGCAGAGACTATAGCGAGGGAAATTAGGAGTTAGTTTTACTGTATCTGAGTTCCCTGAGTTATACACCTTTTCACCAGTAGAGAACTATTAAGAGAAATGAGACCTGATGATGGTGCTAGATAAAGTCTACCACATTTCATGAAATTCCATCCAATAACTGGATCCGAAAATTGCCAATTTGTGTACCATTAATTGAATCTCCCTTAAAGAAGAAAATGCTTAAAGAAGTCTGACTGTACAGAAATCTTAGATTAAAACGAGGCAGGTTAAATTAATTTACTGCCTTTTTTATTACCTCAGTAAATACTTTCCTAATGGTTTTATGGTCTCAGCTAGTTTCAAGTACCATAAACCAAGGTATGCTTTAGGGCATGGGTCACTTGTGATTGACAAGTTGGTACCATGGCAACCTGTCAGTGCAGCTCCTCTACTACACCCTCTCGTCCAAATATCTTTCTGTCTGATCCATCTTGTAGGAGTTTGAGAGACAGACACATAGACTAGATGGCCAACACACTCCAAGAGGACTTAGGTCACTAACTCTAATCTTAGTTTAGCATCACTTTCAACGCCACATACATCAGCACTTCATAAGATAAATAGACAAGTATGTTTTATTATTTGGCTTTAGGTTGTGATAAGAAGAATTCAGAGCAGCTGCCTAGTCATGATATCGCAGTCAGAAAACGACATGTACCCATTAGAGAAGACCTGTTTGCCTTCTGCAGATCCAAATGGAATATCAGTTCTGCCGGCACTGCAGCTCTGAAGCCACAGTGCCGGCAGAACTACATGTTTCTTTCAAGTCAGGTGCTCATCACTGCTGTAGCGATGTGTTTTTTAACCAAACCAGTGTCAAGTCAGTTAATTTTGGTCCAGTTTGAAATAATAATATTGGCAAATATTGCATTGGTTGCCATTAAATTAAGTATAGACTTTCTTGGTCCCCAGAGGATGAATCTCTAAAGGCACTGCAAGACATGCTGTGTCTCCCAAAGAATCCCTGATAGGAAACAGGTGCTAGTTTCAAGATTAATTTAACTGCTGATCCTAACTGGCCTCAATAAGGCCTCTGTGGTTTAAAATGTCCAGAAAGAGACAGCATTTATTCACATTCAAACAGCAGAAACTTAAAGGATAAGTCCTGTTAATAACTTAGATCTTACTTTCAAAGTTTTGTCCATCATTCCTGAAAATACAGCGTCATGATACAACAGAGATCACTGTTTATAGCTGTCAAAGGCAGTAGTGGAAAGCTGAACAAAGTGAGATGTGATAATGGTAAAATAACGACACATTTTCACACAGTCCCACCTGGAAGGCATTGACTCAGTTGAAACCATCCTTACTTTCTAACCTCTGCACACATGACCTATCAGTGTGTGATGTGGTTTTGAATATTGGATTGTCTGTTTTGAAAAGGTACTGAACTTCTTGGATGCAATCAGGGTTTCAGATGCTGTTTGATGATCCAATAAGCACTTTGGATTGAAGCATGACAACACTTTTACTCTTGAACTTTTTCAGTACTTGTCACCTTCGCTACATCTCTTTCAGCTTACCTCATAAACATTAAAATATATCTGGCAATAAGACCTGTAAAGAGCCACTCTAATATTAATAATAATACTGGGGATTTTCCAAAAACGGCAGTCTGCCGCACTCATCGTCTTCACTTTATTGAATCCTCTGCTAGATGTAGTTACAATAGCAGCTGCTTTAATGTGATAAGATTATGTAGCACACCTTTATTAGCAGACACTTGTCACTTCTACAAATATATCACAGTATTACTATATGTCATATTTTGTAGTGTTTTGTGATGTCTTCATTTTCAGTCAAATATTGTCTTACTATTTATTACTGTAATAAAATGTTATGTATTTATGATCTGTCCTCTTCACAACTTCTAGCCTTACTTTTCTCCCTTTCTCAGTGACACATTTGCTAGACAAACACACACCCACACACAGTCACACTCACTGTTACTCACTGGCATACTTAAAACGCACAGCGTTAATGCAACATATCAGGTGAAATGTCAGGAGAGGAATCTATATCGGAGTGGTTCACAGACCACCGGCAAGTGTCCCCCCTGTGACCCTCGGACCCGCTCCGTGTGAGATGGTAATGAAACTGTCTTCCTTTAATTAGCTTGCAAATTCATGAGCTTTGGCTCAGGATGGTTTGTGAGATAAAGTTGTTCCTCCTTAAAGATGCTCTCTTTATCGTTTTAATCAAAAACATCAAGAATTTTTTGTCGACTCTAACCAGCAACAATATAATATTTGACACTGAGTGATTTAGGTGCTGCTGGAGTAAGCAGGCGGTGGAGCGGAGTTTAAAGGTTAGAGTCACTAATGATCACTTTTTCCTTTTAAGTTTTCAAGGAAACATGAACCAGCACCTTGACAGGATGATTTAGGTGGAGGTGTGTGTCATGGGTAGTGAGTCAGTGAGTACATACAGTTGGAAATCCTGCATTCATGTCCTATTATACCAGCATGTCCTCTATTTGACTAAATATTTCTGTAATGACGCGACATTGACTGTGCTTTGATTTGGTAGCCCGTCTGGTGGCACGTGCATGTTAGTGCAAGTGAGCACTTTGGCTGTGAAACTGTTAACTTTGAGTTAAAACGTCTGTTTCCTTTCTCACCTAACATTGTGAATTATAGCTCCTTTATGAACATATTTGCAAATGCATTGAAACTCATGTTTGGTTTTATATGTGCATGTGTTATTGCTTGTGTGTAAAAACCCTTTATCTTTTAAATCTCTTTTCAGGAACTAAAATGAATAGCCTTATACTTTTAGCTTTACCAAGCATGTTGGAGTTTATCCAACTGATGTGATCTGATGTTTCACAAGCATATGTTTATTTAAGATAAGAAAGTGGATTTACAAGGTTGCATTTGGTAAAACATGACATCTGTATGATCCGTTTCTCCCTCTGTCCTTACATTTGTTGTGAGGAATTATTTTAAAAATAAGTGTTTGTCATTTTTGCAGAAACTGGCACTATATCCTGACAGTAGAACATGTGACAGATAATCTGTAAAAAGCAACACTTGTTTATGTTATAAGTGAAACAAGTAGGTATCCAGCTGATTGTACTGGCATTAGAGTTCAGTGTGTGACTTGGCAAGACAGTGAGGCTGAGGGGGTCACGGCACATACATGGCGTCGAAAGGTTGTATAGTGTCAAATTTACAACTGAGGATCTATTTTTAAAAACATCTGGGTAAGCTGTCCAGATGGTCCTCAATGTGTGTGTCTGTGTGTGTGTGTGGGCCTGTGATCTATTTGAATTGGCGTATAATCTTACAAGGACATTATTGAGATATGAGCATGCCAGGCCATGTTTTTTTAAGGTCAACATACTTAAAATCAGTTCGTAGATTCATTTATTTGCAGAGAATTGACAGATATGAGTTTTTATTATGTAAAGTAAAACCATTCATTGTGCTATTAAACTGCTTAAGTCACAAAAAAAGCCTATAACAATAATTTTATAAATTCTTTTACATTGTACACACTGTATTTTGTAACATTACATTTAATACATTTGATACAGAGTACATTTAGCATACAAAATAAGAGAAGACAAGATATATGCTACAGCAAAAGCAAACAGCTTAGGTGCTAACATGCTAAAATACAAAACTCTGCCATGTTAGCTAAAGGTTGCTAGCTGCCAGCTTCGTTTACAGTGCTACAAAAGTGCTACTAAATTATAGGTAGCATGGAAATATTTACTTCTGGTAAGTGTCTATGAATACATTTACATTTAGTTAATATTTCTTATTATTTGAAGCATTGAGTTGAGTTGAGTAAAAATTGTGTTGTGCTCCTTTCAGTCTGCTAGCAGACGTGTTTATGGCTACTGTAGTTTATGCAGTTCATAACCTATTACGATGTAAACACTCTAAAGTCTAGACCCAAATATAGATTCGGTGCGCTAAAGAGGGTATCTTTTACAAGTGCATGCTACCATTACAGCACTACTTATTACAAATAATCCCAAGAACTGCAGCTGTTACACCACTGACTTATCAAGTTATTTTTTAATCTGATATATAGAGTAAATGCTTGAGTAAATCTTATTTATTAATTAAAGACATTTGGTAAAATTAATTTACTTCCAAAAACAAATGAGAAAAAAACAGATATCCCATAAATCAAATGTTTTCATTTGACAGTGTCCTCTCGCATCGAACATTTAGTGTAGAGGCTTAGTCTCTCAGACTGCAACAATAATTTGTGTTGTTTATTAATGAAATATAATAATCTTATTAAGACGCACAGCGTAACATGTCAATCAAATACCTGTTATTGGTTCTAAGAGCTTTAAATTATGTCTTCAAATGTCTTTTTTTGTTAGTCCAAATTCCAATTAACAGTCACATAAAACAAAGAAAAATCACCAAGGCTTTCCAGTGTCCATAGCTTGTATCCATAATGGCTTTACTATAACTGTTTAACTATAAACTAAAAACAGTATTAGTCAGATTTAATAAATGTAAAAGTTGACCAGTATTTGCCTTATTATTCATCAGTATATAAATCAGATTACAAATCTCCCTATCGTTCTCCTCTTCCCTCCATCTCTTTCATGTTCCTGATTGCTCCTTTCCCTCTGCTCTTCTTCCTCTCCTCCTCCAGCCGCATCCTCTCCCTCTCCATCACCCAGTCCCCTCCGAGGTAACTCAGCATATCCTCAGGTCGTCCACGAAGCCGAGGCCTCGGGTCGAGGAGCGACTGGAAGAAGGAACAGGCCAGCGGGGTCAAACATGCAAACTGGGGCGCTGTGGGAGGACGTTCTTTCTGTTCAAGTTCTACCCCAATTAACTCAATGACATCCTGTGCGCTCTCACCCTGTGGCTCTGCCCACACGTCCAGTTTGTCATCAGGGCTTTTTGCTGTGTCACACCATTCCTGATATTTCAGGTATGAGTGGCAGTCTCTGGTTGTTTCAGCCCAGGGATGACTGCCGGTGAGCATGGCGTAGGTCAGGATCCCCAGCGCCCAGCTGTCCGTGCTAGGCTCCACAGACACCCAAACTCGTGCCTTCTTTTTCTTCTCACCATCCTCCTTAACACCATCATTCCCATCATTCATGCTTCTCCAGCTATCCTCATTTCCGCGAGCGATCTCGGCCTCAGGGGTGCAGTAGGGAGAGCTATACCAGACCTCCGGGACCCTGATGCCCCTGGCCTTCACCTGGTGTAGAAATTAAGTTATTTGTCAATTCTGTCTAACACAGAAACCTGTAAAATACAATAAACATTATGTAATGAAAAAAATAATCCTGTAAATTGACACATCTCAATCTTTACCTGCTTCCATGCTCATGGCATAGACCCTGTATTGTTTTGTTAGGAATACCGCGCATCAAAAGGTCCTCTAAATTAAATAACAAAATACACTGTTTATCCATACCCTTTAGATACATACTTTCAGACAGACAACATAATTTGTCTGTGCTTTCCAAAACTGCAACAAATCACTGCTGAAAATGAATCATGATACTAAAATGCTGTCGCTCACGTTTGGTTAGGCTTAGGCACAAAGGCAACTTGGTTAGGAAAAGATGATGGTTTGGGTTGTAATACGTACTGTTAGGGTTAGGGAATGAACATTGTCATTGTAAAGAAAAGTATGTGTGGGTGGGAACAAGAAACGGAAAGTGGTTGCTCAAAGAATTAAAGTCTGATGTTTTGTTGACCTGTTCATCCACCCAGACTTCCTCCCTTTGTGGACTAATGGACCCTCTATTACATCACCTGACTTCCTCTTTGCTCCAGTCATGATTACAAGGCCACTGGAGAGCTTTGTCACTTGGATGTAAATATCTGTCATTCTGTGGCAGTGGCTTAAATAACTAATGTTATCATTCTCCTTGGGAGGAGAGGCTTCATACATTGTTAGGCTTCTCAAAAATGTCACCATTTGACAGTTGAGTGGTACAGTACCATATGTATTTTACACTGACCATGCCAAAGTCTCCTAGTTTGACCCAGCGGCAGGCAGAGTCACACAGGAAGACGTTCTCTGGTTTGACGTCTCTGTGGACAAAACCAAGAGAGTGCAGGTGGGACAGAGCGCCACACAGCTGGGACACCACCCGCTGACAACAGTCCTCCTCCATACCGACCTGATGAGGAGAAGGAGAATGATGTGTGAGCTATACTGAAAGATCTGAAAGAAGTCTACCTAAATGAAAAGTAAATATATGTCAAAAAGTTACACATCATTTCTATTGCTTACGTTTTATGTTAAAGTGATTAGATGACTGCAAACCTTTATAGTCATGACTAAAAATTTTCTAGTAGCAGAAACTCTAGATCCAAGAAATCTAAGCATCTGTTATTCCTTAATCTGATGACAATCTGGTCATTACACTTTATTGCCCACTTTTGCAGAATGTGGTAAGATGACCACAAAAACATTGATTAATACAGCATGTGCTGTACTAGTCATAATAATGACTTAATAGCTCTGTTGAAATAGCTGTAACCTCAGGCAAGATGACATCATAGAGATCACCAAAGAGGCTTGCTTGCTGAGCAAAGACGTAGTGCAAAGGCGTGGAGTAGGCGATTCCTAGCGCTCTGGTCAGGGATGGGTGGGTACAGAACGACAGAGAGAGGTTATACTCCCTCAGGAAAGAGAAAAGAGAGGTGGACTCACGAGGGAAGAATTTCAGAGCCATTGGAGTACCTGGAAGATAAAAGGGAAAGTTAATGATTTATGTCTCTCTTTTTTATGTGTTGGAGCTATAATGAACAGGCGTTCGTATCCACCCTCACCTCTCTTCCTGTGTACAGCCAGCATGACTTTGCCATATGACCCTTCACCCAGGAGCTTTAGGACCTTGAAGTGCTCTGATGTGTCCATTGGTGTCAGAGACTGAGCCGTCAGATGGCACATTTCATCCAGGAGCTTTGTGGCAGCCTGGACACACACATACACAACAAAACCGTGACGTTAAATGTATTTTTTTAGAGCAGAAGTTAGATTATTGGCAAACCTGACACGTGAATGTGCTTTGTGCAGATTCCCAAGCCAACATATTACGTATTACTAAATTGTTTTCCCAATTACACTGTGGTGACAGACATAATTGCGGTCTGGATCAGAGGCAACATCGTTTGAGTGAATGAAGCGCCGCATTTATCTACCACACTGGAGCCAGTCAAGATGAATAAACACAACATTTTAGTGCTTCTTTTCAGAGTCGAGTCCCTTGTAGCTCTTTGGTGTGTAACACGACCAGTGCCGTGATGATTGTTGTCATGGTGAGGCTGGCATACCCTGATCCAAGGCTATAAACATGTCTGTTAATAGCTTCATGAAATCCTTTGACACACACACACACACACACACACACACACACACACACACACACTGGTCTTTGTTTTGTCTGATGAAACGTTGATGTTTCCACCACAGCTGGCACCCTTGGGCCCAGGCTGGGCTTTGGTGTCACCCTTACATCCAGACATGGGGCAGCTCATTACAGCTCATTAAAGAAAAACTCAGCCTCAGCTGTGAATGTGCCGTACACAGATACTCCCAGCTGAGGCTTCACTCACACCGACAATCACTACATTTTGGGCAGATTTTATGATTTGTCCAGTTAAAAACATAAAATTTAAGAAGTAAAACTAGGGGGCTGCCTGTTTTCAATGAAAGGCATGATTGATAAATGCAAGTACAGTTTAAATTCAATTAATAAGGATTTTCAAGAGCATCACACTGACAGAGATTTCCTTTATCTGCATCTACCATGTTTCATTAGAAAGATGCAATACGAAAAAATCATTTATGTACTACTTTGTGATTACCGGTAAAGAGAATCAAAATGTTCAATAGCCTATATTTCATATATAATAATAATAAATCATATATGTTGCAGTATCAGTCCAGCAAATATGGCAGTGTTATGCCATATGATCAGCATTGATGTGAATACAAATAGAGTGAGAGGTCTCAGTGGTTTGTGCCGTGCTCCAATTACTGAGCTATTTAGGCCTGTCTGAGACAAACACCCACTGTAAGATCAACATCGGGGGTTAACGGGGTATTCAGTGAGCAGCATAGCTGACGTGCTCAGAGTTGGTCGGGTTTAGACGAGTGTAAGAGGAGGTGACACCAATAGCCTCTCTGTGCGATGCCGGGCTGAACGCCCACTCTGACACACAAGATTGGACCTCTAATGACTGGTGTGTGTGTGTTTCAGAGATAAATGTCCTGAGGATGTCCTCTACATGGAAATGTATCTCTCTGGACTGCATAAGTGTGATGAATGACAACATGTTCAACATGTTCTGTCAATACGTGTGTGTGTGTGTGTGTGTGTGTGTGTGTGTGTGTGTGTGTGTGTGTGTGTGTGTGTTTGTATCAGTGTGTACTGGGACATACTTTTGCAAACAATATATAATCTATAAAATACATGCAGTAATCAATATTTGAGCTTGACAGGAAATCAGTCTGGTTTTCAGGTACATTCTTCATGCATTTAATAAAATATTTTACTATGTATTTTCAACAGGTTTCAGGAATATTAAACAATATCTTTGTGAATAAAACATCACCTGCAAAATGTTTACATTTATAATCAAATGTTTAAGAGTTCAAGTTGATGAGCTGATGCTAGATTAGACATCAAAGCCTCAATCTGAACATCAAGATATATTAAGAAAGATTCTTTTGAAGAATTACTTAGTCCACATATTCCAATTCAATTTTAATCATTCTACTGAATTTCAGCTGAGCTAGAGGAACTCACAACAAGTACTGTCATTTTGCAATTAGTCTGAAATGTTCTTTAAATGTGTTACAAATTTAAACATTTAACTTCTATAAGATTTTGACTTTATTATAGGTCACAAACACCCATTAATGAACTGTTATAAATGGGAAAGATATCATTTCTGTAATGAAATAGACAACAAAAGATCTAATGGGGAACTCAGTGTGGGTATCTGTAGTTTCTGATGACATGACATTTAACAGAATTTTACACTGCAAGAAATACATTTATGCCTTTAACATTGTTTGAAAATCTGCTTCACAACAATACTCCAAAGATATATATGACATTTTACTTCTAATAACAATTATCTGTTATTTAAATGGTCAGTTTACCCAACTTACGAAAATATTTATTTTCTCATAACAACAGCTTTCATCGCAACTATTTGTTTAATTTGAAATAGTTCCCATGAAAACTACTCGCAGAGATGCTCAATGCAGTGTGCACCACAAATTAAATTAAATTCACTTCCATTGTATTCAGGTGAGAAATTGAATGAATTTATGAAAACCTCAGTTGATTTCGGAGCAGTGAGGAAATCCCTACACCAGTTTTGACTTACTGTCATGTTGCAGCTGTAGTTCAGTTCAGCGTGGTTGAGCTTCAGTGAAAAATTTGCCCAACATAAATTTCCGTCCTGCTCTTCATTTAGCAGGTGCACCTCACAGGATATCCTTCACAGGTCTTCATCTGCAGTCTTCTTTCCACCTACAGCTCCAAATTGTGGGAGAGTCAGTCGGCTGCAGCGAGAGTGTGGTTTTAGTTTGCAGTCAATTGAGAAACTCTCCAAACTGTCCGTCGAGTTCACTGAAAGATGAAGTCTGCTGCTGCTGCAACTTTTATCCCAATGTCTGCCCACACTTCCACTCCTCCCCCTGTCCTCCCTCTGCTGCTGCTGCACTGCAGGGTGGATTATGTGCATGTCCGCATATGTGTGTACACGCTCTAGTACTTTTATCTTTGACCAGTTGGAGTTTTAGACCAAGTGTTCTGGAGCAAGACACTTAACCTCTAGTTGCTCCAGAGGCATGCAACTTCTGACATACAGTACACAGCAATGGATAAAAGCATCAACTAAAGGAGTAAATGTAAATGTAAATCATATGGGGTGATACTCGATGGCTTGATAACAGTTGAATCATGCATGCATGATATTAAAGAGGTCATATCCTTTATTGAGTTATATATCTATTTTGTGCATGTTTGCAAAGTGAAAAAGCTCAAAGTCGACCTCAAAGGCAGGGCCTATGTCCCATAGAAAACACATCTTGTTTGTACTCCGGCCTTTTCACTTTGATCCCTGTCACGTCCCAGCAAAATGAGTGTCATGATGCTCATCAAGTGGCTAGTCCGACACGCCCTCAAAAACACCAGTGGAATAACACACTGAGCTGCAGCACACAGTGACAAGATGTCCGCCTGCTGCCTCTCCTCTCCCTTCCAAACACTAGCTACCCTCCAGGCAGTCAATGGACATAAAGTTGTTACTGTGATGTAGAGAGTTAAAACTTTATGGATGAAAGATACATTTGTTCACTGTTCTGAAACTTTTGCTCCAGTCCATGTTGCCAAGCTGGTAAGGGGAATATATACACCTAAACCGAAGATGTGTTTACCGGCTTCTCATGACCTGCCCTACTCTGCCTCTGATTGGCTAGTAGTCCTTAACTTGGAATTGCGCATGTGCAACTCCCAAAAAAGATATACTGCAGCAATGTGCAGTATGAAAAAATTATGGTGTTTTCTGAAAATGAGCATGATATGACCTTGTCCTCGAACACGTCCTCATATGACAAAATAAGAAAATTAAATAATATGTAAGAACAAGTTTAACACGTGGTAAACATTCATTGTTTGGTTAGGTTTAGACAAGTTAAGGAAAAGAGTGTGATTTGGGTTAAAATAAGTACATTATGTAAGTCACGTGACATAATTGATTTAAGTCACGTGACATGATCTACAAAACAGTATTCAACTTAAAACATGTAAAGTTTTACGTTCTTTCACACGGTATTCAAACCTGTGTGAAATGCCTTACCTTACTTGACACATCCATCCACTCCACCGTCCTTACACAGACTTTGTTGCTCTTTATACTACGTCACCTGAATTATTTTGCCACGAGAGGTCGTAGCCTAACAAAAAACTTAAATATGGTTTGTAATAAGCTACTTAATCGACCTATGTGGTTGTTTTTCTGGTGAAGACGTGCTGTAAAATTTCACTGTATGGTTATTATTTACAGAACTTTGCAACATAATCTTGGTGCTGTGGTATGATAAAAATCCTTAAACAGCAGAAAATTTTTAGCTTGATACAAATTAAGACATGTACAGGACCAATCTCTCGCCAAAGTATATATTGTTGTAACCTTGCTGAGAGATGTACTGTATGATAGTTTCTTATCTGACATCCCTGTCAGCAGGATGACATTGTTTGTCTGTGCTTTCCAAAACTTTTCAGTTTCATAATGTGACAACACTATGGTTAGGTTTAGGGAAACATCATGGTTTGGGTTAAAAGACCAGCCTGCTACATTAAGGTTTGGTTACAATAATAAGAGCTTTGTTAAGGTTCAGGAACAATCGTGGTCATGGTTTAAAGAAATCAATGTTAAACTTTGAAGTTTTGTTTACCCGTCTCCGACCTCCTCCCCACATGGACTTTGCCACTCTATTACAACATCACCTATTTCCTCCTTTGCTTGTGATTTCTCCAGCAACTCAAGTGCTTGATGTGCTTTGATGTAAATATTATGTTGCTTTGGGGAACTTGCTGAATAAGTATGTAGTTACATTAGTTGGTGCTCCCGTCCCCTTTGCAGATGTGATTTTGTTTTCCCTGTCTCTGTCCAGAAAATATTTAGCTGTTGATCTGTCATTCTGCATATTTTCACATGTCACTCTCGTACAAACCATGTCTTTCTTTCTCCCCCTCTCTCTATTTTCAGCCAAAGGATTTTCCTCTAACACCCAGACCCCCTGTGGGTTTCAGATCCAGCTCTCAGCTGCTACCACTGACCGCACGTACAACTGCTGGATCACTCACACTTTTCCTGGAGGCCAGCACAGGGTAAGTCTGTCTGTGTATGAGATCATCTGTCTGTGGCCACATGTCATCACATTGACATTATGCAAGTCACTGTCAATTCAGGTCACTTATGGAGTTCACAGCTGAACAGCAGTGGTCTGTACATTCCCATGTGTGTCACCCAGCTTTGTGTGGACGCTTTTATCCTCAGTGCTTTACGATGCTTGCTTTTCAAGCAGCAGATGTGGAGTTCAGTAATACTGTAAAATTTGTTAGAATCAGATCTGCTGTGCAGGCACAGTTACTGGCATTAGTTCAGCTACTTCAACATCAGTGGAAATTTACAATAATCCCAACAAAACACTGTATGTCTGTATTTTCATTACTTTCCATTTGACATGACATTTGTTTTAAGTATTTAGTTTAGTTAAACTTCCAGGTAAACTATTACATTTAGTTGCCTCACTTTCAGGGCTCACTGTCACATTGTCACAGCTCACTAGGACACTAGAATAGAACAGAGACATTGTTAATGATGCAAGTCAAAATATCTGCTGTGAAAAAGGCCAACTGTGGCACCACATCACATTTTTGGAAGCAAGAAAACTTTTTTTTGTTTAGACTGGAGGACTAAGAAATTATTCATATTTTAATTAGAGGAAAGCCTCTCACTGCCCAAGTGTGCCTTTTAGCTCATCTACATTTAATAATAACTTTTTTGCCTTTCCCTCTGAGGTTCAGTTTAACCAATAAGATTATTTCCACATCCACCATCACTGAATGAGTGAATTATTGGTGCATTTATGTGTCGTTGGAATAATTGGAAAAATTATTTCCTGCCTGGAAAAATTTACGTGAATGCCCCCTGAAGTCGGAAAAACAACATCTGAAAGTCGAAGAAACGTTGCCAAGTTGTTGACGTCGTACTTGTAGATACATGGCAGACAACATGGTTGATTGTAAGAGAACACCATACTAAGCAAAATCATGCATATATATTTTTGCTAACATCTCATTTGTTATATGGTATTAGGTTATAACAGTTAGTTTGCTTGACCTGAATGTCTATGTGCTGTTGAAATGCTCTTATAACACTCATCCAACACATCTTTGTTGCGTCCGTGTTTTTTTTACACATTCCGACTGAAAAGCACATCAACACACCGAAGTCGAAGAACGACTTAATAACTGTTAATGTAAATGTTAACCAGTACACTCACACATCACAATGGAGCAGTCAGATCTCTGTTTCAAGTGTAAAACTTTATTAATTACTTCATATAAAGCGTACAAAAACAAAACATCCAAAATATATAAATAGTTCTGTAAAAGTCACTACAGTATGTCAATACTTTATTATTATTATTATTATTATTAAATACTACATAATTAATTACCCATAGAAAAAAGTGAGATGCCCGCATCTCAAACTATAATACAGTCTCATACATAATATAAAAAGCTCATAAATAGCATCCTAAATAGGTTAAAAAACAACAGTACAAAAATACGAAATATTCCACAACATTTTCTTGTCAATTAGCTCATTAAGAAGATTAACACTTAGCAGGCACTGTGAATGTAAACAATCTCAAAGGGAGTAAAGGTCTCAGGCAGGAGCATCTCTGCACAGTGCATCAGTCTTAAAAGGCTGCATGTAAAATGTGGCATGTACATATTTTCATCCATGCAATAAACATACATTCTGTGTTACTGCTGAATAGACATTAATGTGATGGCATACACAGAGTTGAAAACTTGTGTAAACAGAGCGCCAGAGCACCCATACAATACATCAAGAACTCAACCGCTCGCTACTTTTGTGTCCACCAGCTTCAGCTCTGTGATTATATGACATACAAAATTTTGTTTGATGTTAAACCCGTGTTCCCACATCACCCTGTGTAAACAAGACTACTGCCATACTAACAGCTCTGAGAGGCTGTATTTGGGTACAGTGGGGCTTTGAACTAAATGCTAACGTCAGCTTGCTCACATGCTCACAACAATAGCAGGTATGATATTTACTGTGTTCATCATCAATATTTCAGGTTAGCATGTAAAAAAGGCAAATTTTTGATAAGCAGCACAAATACAAAGTCTGACACTAATAGGAATGTCATTTGTTTTGCAGGTCTTGGTCATAATCTGGGTTGCTGGACTAATTGATATACTGGCCTGGTGGTGGTGGTATAGGTACTAAATTTCATGGCAATCCCCCAAACAGTTGTAGAGATATTTCACTCAAAACCACAAATCAACCTCATGATGGCACTCCAGGAAAAGTCAAGCAATCACCAAAATGATTGATCTTTAGGGGTACGTGAATGTCTGTACCAAATTTTGTGTTAATCCATTAAGTAGATGTTGAAATATTTCACTGGATAAGTGAGTAATTAAAACTTTTACCTGTGGGCCATAATTCTGAAAAAATTAGGTGGATCACTATTGTCACCATCAAAATGCAGTCGCTGGGCACTATGAATATCTGTACTGAACTTAATGGCAATCCATCCATATTAATATAATATAATATAATATATATATATATATATATATATTTATGCTGCTATATGGTAAAAACCATATATGTTAAAAGTGGTTTTGTGGTTGCCTATGTGCTGAGGGTGGAGTGTCAATATTTAGGGTGGCAGGATTTTTTCTGGAGAATCCTTAAAACTCTTTTTGACCAGTAACAAAAGACTTTTAACCGTTCAGAAATTTCAACAGAGAACTGGAGCACATCAAAGGCTGTGGCGATAACCGGGAGGGATGGAGACGGTGACTGAGGAACCTCTTCACTGATCTGAAGACAGAAAGAATGGTTAAGATTGAGAGGTGTAGGCAGCAGCTTGGAAGTCAAATCCTATCTCATTAATTTCCCTTTTACTGCACAATGGACCACCTGAGTAGAATGGGAAATTCACCCCTGGACGACAGGAATTAGCACTCCAGACACAGTTCAGTTACAGCAATTAGCTTACTTAGCTTATATACAAACTTTTTTGTCTTGGCTTTGTTCTTGTTTCTTTTCTTGTGTGTCTTTTTATATTCTCCTTACTCTCTCTGTGGGAAGGACAGAGAGAGTCTTCCACAAAGACCTAGTTTAACTGAAATAAATGATACTGAGCTGAACTAGATATCCATCCATCATGAACCGTTTATCCTGCATACAGGAGCCAATCCCAGCTGGACAGGTCGTCAGTCCATTGCAGGGCCACACATAGACAGACAACCACTCACACCCAAGTACAATTTGAGAGACACCAATTAACCTAGCCTGCATGTCTTTGGGTGGTGGGAGGAAGCTGCAACCAGGGTTTGAACCTGTCTGATGATGCCATTTTCAAGCACATTATTCATTTTCTAATTCAAATTGCTTTTATTGTTTCATGATATCTATAATTTTAATATCATATTTCCTTTTAAAATTTCCCATTTAACAACTAATATTTTGTACAAAAGTAAAAACTAATGTATTACCATTTGTCTTTTTATTTTAAAACATATTTTTTTATTTTTGTGTGAAATTGTCTTCCAAATCATCCATGTAAACAAATCAATCCATTCTGGTCTTCTCACCTGGTGAAGAGTTGTGTTAACGAGGTTGGAAAGCTGCAGGAGGTGAGTGCTGACGCCCTCAGCCGAGTGGGAGGACAAACTGAAGTTTTGTTTGCCTGTGTTCAGCCAGTCAACATGCAGTCTGAAGGACTGAGCGTGCACATACAGCTGGGAGAGTGACTCGTTCAACTGTAGGGACAAGATAGAATTTATCAATGTACTTGACATACACAAGCTCTCTACATTTAGAAAGTGTAATGAATAAATTCCTTGATTTTAGAAACTTTACCTTCAGTGAGCTGAAGTAGTCAGCAGAGTGTTGCATATGAGGAAGACCGTCAAGTTTATGTTCTACATTGTCTAAGTTTATGAGTTCTTCATCTGTCTGTTGGGAAAATGATGAGAAGTAAAGGTTACTTTACAAACATTTCCAAGATAAAAGTGGGATTTCAAAGACCTTTGGGAGAAAGCTTCCACCCTAAATCAGTCATTGAGATGAATACAGATTTGCATTAATAAAAATCTGTCAGTCTGTCTGTCTAAACTACGGCCTCTTATTTGGACCTTTAAGTACATATATAAACTATTTATAAATACTGTACATATTGTTAAATAATTTGGTTAATATAAAATTAGGCAACAAAACATTGATTAATATATTTAATTATTGTCTATTAATATTAGACAGTATTCCACAGTATCCACTGTTCATTGTAGGTGACATCATGATACATCAACTATTAAAAGATTTGATCTCCAACATAATGAAAGTGAAAGTTAAAACTATTTATTAACTAATTTTTTTTTTTTTAAACCCTGATGGGACATTTTAAGCCCATTGGTTTAGACATTAATGTGACATCTATAAACTGCACAATATATGATTGAAGAAATTTGTTTGGTTTGCAAGTCAGTCATATTGTTGTAGACAGTGACATCTCACCAAGTCATGGAGTTTATTGGATAAGTTTATCAGCCTGTCCACCTGATGGATCATTGATCCAAACGTGCCACAGCGGGGCAAACTTTTGGCGGGACGAGATGATGAATGGACAAACCGCTCAGCCAATAGCAGCAGGGGGAGAAGCCACAAGGTGGAGACGTGAATTACTGAAAAGACAAGAAAAGATAAAATAAGACTTTTAGTGTTTTGTGTATTTCTATGTGTCTTCTGAGGCTGCAATGTCTTGAGCTCCCATGGTCACCATAGTTCTAAGGTCTTTTATATAATTGGTAATGAGTCTGCAGTCTGTTTGCCTTCAACTTATAGCACCCTATTAAAGAGAATTACACAGCACTAGTACATTCAGCAGTAGTTGCTCACTGTGTTTACAGCTGCACCCACAACTACACAGATGGTCCCACAACAGGTGGCTACTGGGCTGCACTCGCTTTATAGCGGAGAGTGTAGCAACTCACATTTTTCCCCTCTCATTGACCCAGCCTGCTGTGCCTGAATCACTAAGAAAACCACAAAGCTGCGTGTGAAGTCATTTTTATCTCCAACCTTAATCTAAAAATCATGCACAAGTCACACATGATTAACCCAGAGGAAGCTGCTTTTGTGCATGATTCTGTCTTTAAATAGTGTAAATCATTTATCTGACATACTTGCCATAATTTTAAGTACCTGCCAGAGCAGTGATTACCATTTACCATTCATCCATAATACAAAGGCGCACATTCCCTATATGAACTGTTTTTTATTTCACATCGCTGTCAGTTTATTCTTGCATCGAATAAAAGTTGCATCCTGTCATGCAGACATGAACAGTCATTCAAAAAACCAGATAAGAGCAGCAGTGAAGGTTCAGACACCAAAATAGGTCAGACTGATTTACTGTTAGCGTATTCAGTGTTTACGTGTGTGAGTGTGAGAGTAGGATATAGATTTCTGCAGACTGATCGTTTGTATTTCTGGGAAACATATACCTTAATAGGTCAGTTAATCTATAGTAATTTTTCTTCTAAAGATGACCTGGATCAAAAGTTACAATGAGTCATGTTTGTATTTATATTTTCCTGGTAAGGGACTTATTGCGGTTATTATGTTAGTATGTTATGTTGATGTAAATTAATTTCCCAAACTGTCTGTTGTAAAAGTCCATAACAGGTAACCTTCCGACTCTGGTTCAACTTTATCATAACAACTGACATTATGGGTGGGTTCACTATCAGTTTTACCTCCAAATAAATCGGTTTAAATCATCTGGCTAAACTCTAGATAGTCTGATTGTTCATGTTTTTGGTTGTGTTGCAATTTCTCATGCCTCCTGATTGCAGCACTTACTTTGGTTAGTACAATGTTGTCATAACTGATAGAAATCAGTGACAAAACTATTAAAATAAGACCCAAATTGTCATAAACAAGAATTATGTATGACTTCGACTCGACAGATTGGGATTCTTATTATTAACACTCAACACTTGAAGTTGAAGTCTTTCCCCAAAGCTACATTAATTGATTTTATGGCCACTTGGCCAAACACAACACTGACATATTGCAGAACCACTTCATAAAGTTAAGTTGAATAAGTTAGCAAACTCTTGCAGACGTGGCAATGGGAGCAACGTTATTTTTCACTTCGAGTCAGGGTGGCAATGCACTTGGTATGAGAGACTAGGGTTCAATCCCCCACTGTGACCCATCCGCCATTGTATCCCTGAGCGAAAAACTTAACCCTAGTTGCTCAAGAGGCGTGCAACCTCCGACACATACAGCAATTGTAAGTCACTTTGGAAAAAAGTTTTAGCTAAATCAGTTGAGTTTCATGCCATCTGAATCTGCAACTTTCAGCTCTGGTTTGGTCTCCACCAGCTCCTGAGACAATATCTGCCTCTTTAGCTGTTAAATGTTCCACTATGTTCACCGGCTAGGTTCTAACTCTGTCTGTTTAGTGCTGAGCAGTTAGTGTACACTGGGTTTAAGGGAGTTTCCTGTGGCTACTGCTACTGCTTTAATGAGGTTAATGAAGCAGAAGTTGCAGGCCGTGAAACCAAATCAATGAGCCTTGAATGAATGGTGTTGAATGAATGTTTGAATATTTCACCCTGTGTTTAATAAATGCATGGAAGAGAATCATCAAGCTGTCATCTTTTGATTTTTTCCCAGCACTCCCTCAAATCTTCAGTGGTTTGTTTTGTCTTGGTCTCATAGGCTTTCTTCATCAATTATGATCTTTACTCAAGGACATAACACTTAGTTCATGTCTATAAATATCTCCGCTGGGCTTCAAAAATCCCATAACCCAGGGCAACAAAGAAATGAATTGTCCATCAGTGTTAGTTCAGGGATAAGGAATGATAGGTATGCTGTGGGGATTTTTTCCCCCCCGCCTGCTTTGGGCCTCCTGTTGGAAAAGGAGAAGGGAGCTGGCAGAGAGGTCTGACTCAGATTAATCTCTCTGTGGTGACATCACCAAGAAGACGCCTCAGGCTGCAATCTTAGGAGGGAAAACATCCGTGTTGTTATGGGTGTCTGACACAGTGCACTTTAAACAGTTTTACTGTCATTCAAACACTAACAGCAGTAACTACTTTCTGTTTTTTATTAAGGTCAAAGGTCACTGTGAAAAAAATCCAGTCCACCGAGCTGTTTCTGGTACCAAAAAGGAAATAATCTGTTTGACATTGTTTCTGTTTTTCATCCTCCTTTTTTTTGGACACAATTGTTGATGTTATATATATTTTTTATTTTATTTGTAAATGCGTTTTAATTGTGACTTGAAAATTGCTAGTTTACAGTTGATATTGTGTATTATTATCATAAGTCTCAGAAAGGTGTTACAGTTGAGTTGATTTGTATTGAAACAAATCAACATAGAGTACACTACTTCACTACATCTTTTACATCATCCTTTCAGCAGATTTGTTGCCGGTCTTCCAAGTTTAACCAGCATGTTGGACTTAAACCATGTAAGTTCATTTTGGGGGATATTAGAAGCATAACAACAAAATAATAACAAAAAAAGCCAACTGGCTTTTTCAAGAACTTTTAACTTTTGTCTCACGGTCTTCATGAGCGGATTGAGGGTGGTCGGCTTGCTAGCTACTTTATTCTGGAGCTTTTAACAGCATCTCACGGTCTTCAACAGGAGTTTGAGCCACAAAACCCACATGTTGATCAGGGCGGCACCTCGTGATCGTAAAGCTCAGTAGAAAGTTAAGACGTAGGTATTGACTCAGAATTACATTATTTGGTCAAACTTTGACCTGGTTTGTTGTGAATTTTCAGCAAAGAAATGGCATGAGAGCTGCCTCTGACATAATCTACCCTAGAAGTGATGGATTAAAAGCTCGTTCTCTGTCAGTGTTTCCAGAACCATACACCTTAAAATCAGACCACAGTCTTGGCAGGAAGTCTGTACACGGATGGTAAACATTGGTGCTTTTGTCAAACCTTTTTGATGAACAAGAGACAAATAAATTGTGTTTCTTGTGATTGCTGCACACAACACTTGGTGTGTTTTACGAACTGAGGGCATTTAATGTCAACAAATAGCATTAGAAAATGTGTTTGCACTAACAGTAACTTAATACAGTGTGACAGTTTAATAGAAAGTGAAAAGAAAGGTTATTTTTGTTTGAGTTGTAGGTTTTCCCTGTTCAGGGTCATATGACAGCTGCAGCCTATCCCAGCGTTAAATGGGATGGAAAACAGGAAACGTGAACAGCTACAAAATCATCTTTTTTTTCACTAATTCAAAATCCTGTCTGAATCTTATTCCAAGACCTGGGATATGTCACTGTGTTGCCTGAAAAGACAATCATCTCAAAGAAAAACAAGTGCACTCACAGCTTTCTGCCAATAACCCCATTAACAGTCTTCAGAAGAGTCAGCTAAGGATACAAACAGGACAGTTGTAATACCTTCACAAGGCTATTGGAAATTTACTGAATAAGACATCAGCAAAAACCCTCTGTCATACTAAAAAACATCCCCCGGCAGTGTAGTGTACAGTCATGCATTTGGCAGAGTAAAGAGCTGTGACAGCATTACTGCTCAGAGCAGAACTGCTTGAGAAGCAGAGTGAATTGGCCGTCTTTGATGTATTTGGCCAGTCATTTAGTCAGCACCCGCTCGCTCAACGCACGAAACATCAACACACGCATGCAGCATCTCACATACTTACACACTTTCACAGTTTCATGTCTCGCTTGTCAAATGCTACCCAGAAACACTGGAGCTTTCTGTGTTTTCTCTCTGACGCCATGAATGCCTCATTTCCTCAGCTGGACCTTTTACTCTCAAGAACTTCTAATGAACTTCTGAACAGAAGTGAATGGCGTCTGGCAGGAAGTGCCCTGCACATGCCCTATAAACATCTTCCAAAACAAACAGACAAGCTGACCAAGAAACTGTTTACTCTCAATGAGCTGGCAAACCACTAGTGTAATGTTGGATTTTAAACATAGTATTTCAAGATCATTGTGATGAGGACTCACCACAACATCTTTATATACATTAATCAATTCAAGACCATTGAGATAAACTTAAAACTGCACTACTATATATTTTAATCCAACAGAGTGTGAAAGGTGACACTTGACAGAAATTATCACATGACTCTGTAGGTCCCTTATAAGCTTTTTTGTGTCATTTAGGTTTTACAGCTGTTTTTGCGCACTCTTACTGCTATACAAAGTGTTGCAGTGGCAGGAAAAAGCAGCAAGAAAAAGCTCTAAAACCCACTGAATGCCACCTTGCCTATTGCACCAAGCAGCAGACAGATGTAGTTAGCAACCACCCGGTGAACATAGTGGATCATTTAGCAGCTAAACAAGCAGATATTTCTCTCAGGAGTTGGTAGAGACCAAAAACAGAGCTAAAAGAAGAGTGAATTTTGGACCGTCACCAAATGGCCAGATACATGACTCCAAATGAATACTAATGTTGCTCTGTTGAGGTGTAAATACGCAACTACTTGCTAACATGTTTGCAACAGCAGCACTACAATGTGATAATATGTCAGTGCTGTTTCCCAAGCTTTGTCTGAGGGGAGGCCCTGTATTAGATCATCAGGGTCACGTTTTGACATGTTGGCAAGGATATTAGCAAGTATGTAACTGCATATACTTTTAAATAACTCCAGTTTTAAATTACATTACCATCACATAGAAATGCACTATGGTTGCATGCACTCTCATGAAAACTGTTGATGTGCTCAGAAATGCTTTAAATCCAAACTGTTCAGAGGGAAATTAAACTTCTTAATCCAGTAAATGACTAGATGGATTTCACAACCTCCACCGTGGCTAATTGTTTAGTTTCTGAGGTTTATCTTCAGACATGTGATTTCTAAGTTTTGTGTCAGCTAATTCTTCAACACTGCAACTTTGCTAAAGTGATAAATCACAAAACTGTTTGTGATTTTCATTTCTGTAGCAAACTTAATTGAAACAAACAGCTCCCTAGAATTAAGGAAATTAACCTAAACTCATCTGGCCTGTGGGTCATTATGATAACATCAGATTTGCAACATCTATTTAATAAGGTGTGACTTTTCTGTCATGCTGTGGGAATGTAAACTGCCATGTGCAGTTTCACATGACGCAGTATCTTATTTCCTTATGTGTCAAGCTTGACATAGACAGTGTGACATTAACAGGTTGTAACTTTGAGAATGGTGGTCTGTTTTTTTTTTGTTGCAGTACCACAGTTGGCCACACGGGACAAGCTTGCGTCAACACTGGCTACATCTCTTGATACATCCATGATCAATGCCCATGCAGTGAGTGTGCAAATTACGTTACAGTAAATGCACTGATGATGTGCAATGATGTCATCACTGTCTGCCTAACTGACTCACGTGTTTCATCTCTCTCTGACAAAGACACACACTTGGTGTTTACCAGTCTTGGTTGTCTAAGTAATAAGCTAGTGTTCGACTAGCTGTCTTGAAAAGCGTGCAAAGTCAAGCAAAACAACATCAGCGTCATAACGACTGGGGGTGTGACATCAACATCCACACTTTCGCCCTTCAGGGAAAACACAGCCCACCCTCACTGCAGTGACACACAAGGTTCCAGCTTCACTTTCATATATAAAACTGTGTTCACACACACAAATATTCATTTGGCCCCTCCCAGTCACCATGTCCATGTCACAAATTATACCATGTCTTCTCCAAGTCACAGCAAGATTTTATGACTAGGACCTCCTAATCTGATCACAAAAGACAAACATTTTGTGTTGTCTTATCCAGGCATGACACTACATGCATGTTTTCATACTTGCATGAGTATTAACTTTTAATATGAGAATATTGCATCAATGAAGATTAAATAGTATATCTGTTAATATTCAACAAATATGTTTTACCGTTTAACTACAATAAGTCTAATGCTCTTTGACACAATCGCATTGCCGACTAGTTCCAACTCCTCAGGGAAACCTTTAACACACACAGACACACACACATACCAGGCAATCACACCCCAACCTGACAACAACAGTGCATTGTTTGTGAAAGTCAATCACTTTTCAGCTCCTTCAATTGCAGCTAATATTGTGTTTCAGCCACAAATGTTTTACAGTTACTCAGTAATTCACTCACTCATTTACTCATTGGTTGTCTCACCCACAGACTCTCTCTCTCTCAAACTCACTCAGGCTAAAAGTAAAAGTAAAGACCACGTGCAGTTAAGCCCCCTTACTCCCCACAAACACACACAGTCACTCATTTATGCACACACTTCACTCACTCTCTGAAAGTAGCATAAACAAACTTACATTTCATCTTTCTGCTCCTGCTGTAGTAAACAAACTTCTCTCTGAGTCCAGTGTGTGTACTGTAAGTGTATGTGTTTGTGTGTGGACTAAATGTAAAAGTTCCCTTTTATAGCATAGAGTATGACACATCACCTGAGTCATCAGCCATCGTCGCCATTGAAGCATCATGCCCACGCAGGACTACCCCCCCCCCCCTAATCCCACTCATCTGAAAAAGCGTCTTTGTTTATTGAGGTGATTCTGAATGAAGTAAATCATAAAAAAATGTAATAGAAGATTCAGAAAATACCAAATTGAGCAATTCTCCTCTCTCCTTCCTCCTTTCCTCTTGCTGTAGCCTTGTGTCATCACCTCACTTTTGTCTTTTGTTTAACCAAATTTAGTTTAGTTTAGTTTAAGTTAGTATCCTGTCTCTAGTTCACATGCAATCTTAATGCCAGAAAGTAAATAAAGTTAAGACTCAATTTTTTTCTTATGTATGTATTTTTTGCTAATTTGCACAAAGAGATAAAAACCCAACAGAAATTGTTAAACTGACTGGAGAAAAGTCAAGCGTGCAAAAAGAGTGACGACATCCCAACAGCACAGTCCATTAATAATAAATGCATAAAAGATAATAAACTAAAGTAAACAAAGCCCCCTTCCCTTCTTTCAGAATGAGGCGAAATATTTTAAGCCACCATAAATATGTTCTTGGCTAGCAGCTGCTCCCAGTTACAAGCCTGTGGTGTGGCTTCCTGCCAGTAATAAAGTTAATAAAACCAACTCAAAGAGAAGGATATTTGCTGGTTTAATAGCACGTCACTCACTTTCGTTTTTCACACTCTTACTTAGTATTAGAAAGAACAGTGTTTTAAACATCCTGGCTAGACAACATCCTCACCAAAGAGAGAAATTTCATAAACAGGCTTAATCCTTTTACTTAATACTTTTTTTAAATGATGCAGAATTTTCAGGATCATCAGTTCCCCTCAGTGAAATTCATCTCTGTTGCAAGATGAGAGAAAGTCTTTGTTTGAGTCATATGTCTGTTTAACCCGGCCTCATCAATCTGTGTACAAATTACACAACTTTTACACGTTCACTGTTTTATTTATTTATTTATTTATTTATTATTATTATTTATTTTATTTGTTTGAGGAACCATATGAATGGAATTCACAACACACACACACACACAATTTATTTTGAATATTTTTTATTTTATTTTAAGACACACAAGCACACAATACTACTAAAACTACAAAATTACTCAGTTAGGTTTATGAAAACAGCAAATAAAAGGATCGTATCGGTATTTTTAAACATGGGCCCTGAAATGATTTGCAGGTACAAAAAGTTTTAGAATATGTGCAGTAGAGGGCTTCAGCTGGCAGACACAAACCTGCTGAAGTGACAATGTATTCCTTCGCGGCAATTACGCCCATCAAAATTTTGTCCACAAAAAGAGCTTCTTTTAACAACCAACAGGCTCAGACTGTTATACAAGGTATCTAATAACAAAATGGAAAGAAATCCTAGGAGTCACTCCATTTGATTTTATCAAGAAACTGAAATCTTGTTTAAGGACAATCCTCGCACTGCAATCTCGCAATATTCTAGTTGTTGCAGGAAGTCAGTGGTGGAAATGTGAGTTAGAGTTGGGGAGATGAGTTTGTTGTGTTGGAGTAATGTTAGGAATATTTAGTTGCAACAACTTTGTCTTGCTATGACATTTGTGTGTACAGTCGACATGTCATCTCTGCACAACACAAGTACAGCCTGCTATTTGGTGCATCACCTGCATGCACTGTTTGACTTTGGCATATGCACTGCATGAAGTTTAAAAGCATTAGCATTTGTACATTTGAAGCTTACATGTCTCATTGTGGCATTGTGTTTTGGTTTGTGGAAGCGACTGTTGGTAGACATTGGTTCAGCAGATGTAGCTTCCTCACAGCTTTCTCCCATTGTGAGTTTTTAATGTTAACATTTAACATTAAAAAAGCATTGAAACATCGACTGAAATTTCTAAAACCACTCTGAAGATATAATCAACTTATCTGCTGATAACCAATATGTTCCAAACACTCATAAGTTTTCCACAACTAAATACATTAATGTCACTGTCACCTTTTATTTCTCAGAATTTATCAAGAAAGCAATGATCATTTGGAACTTCCCTAAGTCACCTTTTAAGCCTACATAGGGTAGAACAGTTTGCTTTTACACACATACACATAGCCCCACTAGGCTCAGACAGACACAACTGTCGATAAGATGATCTGCTGAACTACAGATTTTGGACATCTTTCTAAAAGAGGACAAAGAAAACATTTAAAGGGAAATCCATCTTCATACACATTACAAACACCTGAAAATCGTTGTTTTGAAGATGTCACGAACCCCCGGCCACGATGATTTTGGTCTGGGATTTGCATGCTGGGTGCTTGTTGTGTTTTCATCTTGTCCCGTGGTGTTGTGTGTCACTTTCCTGGTGTTTGGGGGGCACGCCTATCCCTGGCTACTCCCACACCTGGCTGAGGTCGTCACCGCACCTGCACCTCATCAATCCAGCAGTATTTAAGGAGCAGCCTCACATCCAGTCACTGCTGGATTGTTGTGAAGTATTGTGTATGCTACTGCTTTACAGCCAGTTTTTGAACTTAGTTACCTGTTTCTGCCTGCCTGAGCTATTTGCTTCTCGTCTGTTGTTGCCCACAACTAACCATGTCTCTCTCTCTCAGGAATCATCTCTGGAGATCAGCCCTGGAAACTCAGTCCCAGAACTCAACTCACTGTGCTCACGCCTCCTGTAAGACAGTGTGTGGACCTCCGCTCTCCAAGCCTGTCAGCCAGCCACCCTCTGGATCTTCCCCCACCTCTGGAACCCCACTCTAGCCTGCCAGCACCCCCTTTGCACAACTCACTCTTTGTCAAATAAACCGTTAAAAGAACAACCAATTGTCCGATCTGCTTCTGGGTTCCCTCTGAATCCTGACAGAAGAATTGGACAGACATGAGCTACTGGGAATACAGTACCTTTTGATGTCAGTTACCTTTCGATGCCACATGTTTATATTTACATTTACTCATTTGGCAGAAGCTTTTATCCAAAGCGACTCACATTTGAGGAGCAATATACAAGCATCATTAACATAAGAGATCTACAAGTGACTATTTACTAGTAAGAGCAGCAATAAATACTAGTAAGAGCTACTGGAACGTACGGCATCAATGGGATAAACACCTTGGGGGGAAAAGTAGAATATATCTAATATTTTGTCCACCCATTCTGTATAAATCACGGTAGACTAAATAACAGAAATACCTTTCATTACAGCCCAGTACCACAAACTGCTCCCTCCAAAGTCACCTTAAAGTTAAATCAACACCTCTGTATAACAGTTTAAACAAATACTGAACATTATAGTCTGTGAAGGTTATTAAGATTAGATTAGAAATAATCAATAGATCAAATAGATTAATTGCAGGACATTAATTCAAGCTTAAAAGTAACAGTCTCCTCATTGCCCCACAGGGATCTGATGTTTACGTCTGTCAATCATTTTTGGACGCTTGAGTCACATTTAGGTTACAGGCTTCATGTATGTTATGATTTATTGAAGTTTTTTACCACTTTGTTGCATTTTGCTTTTATCCAAACACCAATTTTCCAACCTCAGTTCAGCGTAAAAACCTTTTTTACTCAGTCCCCTTTAACCCCCCAGTCTTACGCCCCTTGTTTCCAGGACTGGAAATTTTGCAGTGGCAGTCAACAGTACACCAAATTTGTTGCTGTTTATAAAAACCATAGTCCAGCTATTACTTTTGCTACTGAAAAGTGATTGTATGAATGGAAATTTTCAGGGACAGGGCAGAGTTTAAACAAGTTAAACTTCTTTTCAATAAGTCACTAATTATTGAAAAGAAGTTTGGGTGAGTGTGTCAGCTAAAAGGTAGATGCAGCACCATTATCTTACTCACTTCATTCTTTGGAGAGCAGTTCATCTTGCGTCAAAGCTGTGTTGTCAGAGGGTTAAAACTACATTGAGGAATGACGTTGCAGAGTTTCCAAGAAGCTGGTAATTTCCTGCTTCTTATGAAATGTTTGTAATAGTTGAATTTCCACCCACCAGGATACATGATATCTGTGACAGCTGCATCCTAAAAACCATACATATAGTACATCCTCAAACCCAACAACCTTTTTTTAATATATGTTATTGTCATCAGACCTGTTTGGATCACACATGATGTTTGGCATCGAATGCTGAACTTTGTGCCAGTGAAAGTGATGCATGGAAACAGAGGGTAGCACGTCATAACGGTTGCAGTGCTGACTCGTTCTGTCTCCTTTTGTTATCAAAGATACCCATATGGGGTAATGGAGAGGCAGTGTGTGTTAGGGGGGGGTTGAGGGGGGCTTGTCCTCATAGTGGTTTTAATCATTTCCCCAAACACCCACGTTCCGGATATATTCTACTTTTATCTTGTGTTCTCTGTTATTCTCTCTCTGTGTCTCTTTTCTGACCTCTATTGAATGGAAGAATGTGAGGAATGCAGCAGTGAATGGGCGAGTGAGGGAGGCAGCATGCAAATAACTGACGAATGCAGGGGGGTAGGGGGGGGAGGTTTGGGGTTTGGGGGGACGGGGGGGGGTGGATCACTGAATCTAATAGGTGCACACAGAAAGTTTGAAGTTGCTGACAATGTTATATTAAATTTATTACTGGCAATATAAAAAAAACAGTCCAAACATGAAATGATGTAACCCAAAACCTGCTGTAAAGCTTCAGCATGAAAAGACACATTTTGGCATTTTTTGCTCTTTGAGACCATTTGACTATTAGGCGTCAAACACCGCATGGTTTCTAAAACACAGACTAAACTATCACTAATTTAAACCATCACATCAGACAATAACTGAAGCGTGAAATCAAGGGAAAGATTGAAGTAACCAGCGTCTCATTGCTTCTGGGGAATTTCTTTAGGATGTGGGAGTTTGATGTCCCTGATCTCATTCTTTTTTTCTGTTCCAGTGGGTTTATATCATCATATAGTTATGTTATACAGATGTTATTTTT